CCATTCTAATTTTGATATTTTTCAGGGTACCATGGCCGGCAAGCGGAAGAGAAGACCGCCGCATCGCCAGGCCGAGCAGAACGGTTCGCATTTTTCTAAAAAAAAACATCAGAAGGTTAGAGCAAAACGGTTGTTAAATAAAGGATTGGTTTTTGCTCTTTTGAATTTTACACGATATGCTTAGTTAGTTAATTTATAGACTTTAGACTTATTTCTTCTCAATAATGGTTGGGCTATAAAATTGCAGTGGGCTTTTCGGGCCGATAAGCTGGTTTTCTGGGGGCGCCTGTCCGCAAATGTGATCTCTGAACAAACGTTTCGGGTCAGCCGACTCGCCTCGGTGGACTCGGGGAATGAAGAAATTTAGGGTTTCTCTTCAGGCAAATCATTTAAATTAGTGTTTGTAAAGTCCAAAACATTTCTGAAAAGCCTTTATAATATCTTCTTCGCTATAATTCATTCCGGCCAAGCTACAGTTTGTTAGATATTCTATCAGTAGTGCAGGCAAAGTCTTTGTTCAGTTCTTAGTATATACTTTTGCAATTTCTCTGTATTCCTATGTACGTTCTAAGTTTCAGGAACGACCGCAGCCCTAGTTGATCCGTCGTCCCACCATGAGAGGTGCGAATATTTCTCGCATTTTGCCGCCTGTCACACACCCCTAATCAATTGCACCCCCGGTTTCGTGGCGTGATTTCTGCAAAGTCTAACCCGGTTTCTTGAGATTTACAGTCTATGATGAGTTGCGCAGGAAATTTTCCAGAAATTTGGAATTTCAGTAAATCACGGCTAGAAACGTGACTCTTTTGCACAGTTGGTTTGTTCAAAAACCTTTTCCAGGGAATTGCGTTTTTCTGAGCTTGTTTTAATCGAACTCGAGAAACGGTATTTCATTTTTCTTCGTCGCAAAAATCTACAAATCTTAAATTCTTGAATCTTGAATCTACAATTTGAAAGGTTTGGTCTAAACCAGCGAATGGTGAGAGTTTATTTACCCCCCCCCCCCACAGCTGCTGGGGTCTGAAAGCTTTCGGTATTTTCGCTAATTTTGTCAGGATTTTTGCAACGCCATTCGATAGAGCGTCGAAAAATATACTCAGAGTTTTAATTTGAGCCTACACCGTAGCCCAGCGGATTTCGACAAAACTTTCGCATTTGGCTAATTTTCAAAGCTTTGTAAATGGTTTTTCTGTCGGAAATCTAGCTATCCTTTTGCAAAAGAAAGCTTTTAAAACTCACTAGAAAAAATAGAATTTCATGAGAAACCAATTCGTTTCCCCGATATAGCGAGAATCCCGCAACTTTTCTAAACATCAGCTACTTTCTCGATTTTTTTTGCTGTAATAGACGCTAAAAATGGTTTAAACATATCTTTGAAAGTGTTCTGCATTTTTGAACTGGCGCTTCACCGCACTGCCAATCCATGCATGGTAATGATTCACCAAACGATTTCTATTTGCCCAAAAGGTTTGGCAGCAGCCCCGGGTCTCCTCGTTCTCCTCCTCAACACCCGAACCCCCCAAAAATCTATCACCTCGGAACAAAGCACACGTAAACAGGAGGGGGATACCCAGCTACTTCTGAGGCTGCTTCGAGGGGAATGCCGTTCACGTGTCCCTTTGACATTTCCCCAGGCCTAACGAAGCAGCTATATAAGCCAATGGCCCGGGTCACCCCATTTCCATATCAGCCGCCCCATATTAACTGGGGGGTGGCGCGTTCTACAGAAATCGCGCGCTGCCCCCCGATTTTGTGAAATTTGTTTTTCGCCGCTGGATTTGAAGCAACGGTTAACGTGTCGTGCACTTTCGATTTGATCTAGAGAACTGCTGATCATTTTCGCGATAACGCAGGCCTAGCGAATCTCTGCTTTCAATTAGAATTTGAGGGAAAGTTGCGTATTTAACACATCATGACACGGTTCTTTGGCGTTATCGTTGGGGGGTAATAATAGGTACCGTCGTGGTGTCTTTAGCAACGGTGGCTTTATTTCAAGTGGAAAACTTCAAAAAACTGCTACGATTTAGTTTTCTTTTGAAAAACTATATTTTAACATTTTTGGGCGTAAAAATGTCAAAAAAATGTTTATGGATCCTTCACCTATATCGAAAAGTTGGATGCTATGTAAAAAGTTTGACCGTCCCTGCTATTACGTAAACATTCCTCATTCTACCGTGACGACTTTTTTTGACCATTTTATTCTCTATTTTTACAAGAATTCCACGATGTCTATGCCTAATTTTTATAATGTGTCAAGCATAAAATGACAATTTTTATGACCCAATGACAATTTTGTACCATCGAGGATTCCCAAATAAAATCATTAAACGCCATTTCCGGTCGGCCTAACCCCGTATTTATGCTTCTCGCTTTTGAGCTTTCACCACCCGTCGTTTAAACTTTCCAACGGCCCGAAACGTTGATCCCACCCGACCCGCGGTCGGAGCGACAAAAATTTCCAGAGTGCCTTTCACCCCCCGTTTCACCTCCTCCTTCAAGATGGGTTGGTTGTCCGTGGGCGGGTAGGGGGGACCTGGAGACGCGATGGCTTGAGGCGATAAGCGGATGGATCCCTTGAGGCGGGGGAGATGGAGGTGGTGGTGGAGGGCTGACTTCTTTGCCATTCGATCACCTGGGCCTCGAGCCCTTCTTCCACCTCCGCATTGCCTCTACCTCAACCTTATCCACGCCTCAAGGTCATCCTCTCTGTCGAGACTCACATCCCTTGACGACCTAGAACCGGGATCGCTTGTATGTTTGCCCTTTTCGGGCCTTCCTCCCTCCCCCCCCTCGCCCACGCTTTCAATCCGGGTTCGCCTGTTTACGACCTGGGGGGTTGGGATTTATTAGGGGATTTAGTTGGTCTTAAAATTTTGTTCTGGCGGTTTTTAGGTTTTGCTTTTTTAGACCTTCTAGAGTCTAAATTATTCAAACGAACACCACAGAGCCGTATGCAATTTTTCCTGAACAAAATTTAAGCATATCCTTAATGAGCTAACAGTTCGCGACCGTCTAGTCGCAGATGGGCCGGAAATCACACCTGCACCACCCAGGAAAAACCGCCTTGCTAGCGCTAGACTACAAAATTTGAATGCATTTTCAGATAGCTGCCTTCCAATCAAGTTCCAAACTTTGTTTTTTAAATTTAGCTTGCCCTTTCAAGGTAGAAAACTGTAAATTAATTTTGTTAACTTCACGATCTAAATTCGAACACTAATGGTGTCGTTTTATGATCGTTTTTGTCGCCTTTCCTAATTTCCCAGTCCCTTTAAACAAACACAACATGCCGGAATGACCGACTGCCATCGATTCCATCAGGCCATGATTTCGCTATCTTCGCCTGGCGACGAGGCAAAGGACCCGCTGCTATGTTCTTTGCATTCTCACGCCACCCCCTTGTGCCCTCCCTCACTCCCTCTTTCCCTTCACCTCACCCCCAAAATTTCCTCAAGTTGTCAACGGAACTCACAAGTTGTTTTTGGGCATAATTCAGCCCCCGTTCTTTCGACCCTTATCCGAACGATCCCCAGTGCCCCCTTTTGTTCATCTATTTTCAGCATCCGTCACTGGTACTACGGTACCGGACTGTTAGCGGGGGAAGGAAGTTATTTAGATTATAACCATCTAATAATTTTTCAACGATTAAAGTGTATTTTTTCATGTTTTTGCTTACCAAAAGTTGATTAAAAATTTTCACAAAGTCAAATTAGAAACAATTTTGAGGGTTTTTTCTGGCAGTTTTGGCCAAAAAAGGCGATATCACGGTACTAGACTTTTAACTTTCTAGTAATACTTGTCAGTAATTTTTTTAGGGTTTTTGCTTACAAAATGTGACAAAAAATTCTGAAATGTCAAATTTTGGATCTTTTTGAGTAATTTTTCTGAGAGTTTTCCAGCATACAGGTAAAAAAAATGGCTCCCTCGCAAAATCTCTAGTTTCCTCTATTTTGCATCTCCCGGGCCACTTTCGTAGGTTCGGGAGAAGGGAAGGGGCGGATCCCCATGATGGCATTCAAATAGCCAAATTCCATGAAGAATGGGACTCACGTGTTTATTTTGGACGGCAAAGTGAACAGGTTTCGCTTTTCGGGGGGTACTGTACGAATCGGGGAGTTCATTCTTGTACGGTGAGGGGGGGCTTAGGTGTTTGTTTCAGGGCGAGAGGCAAAAAACGATAAGGTACTCCTCGAAAACAGTTTCATAGTCAAATCGCTTTGAGTAGGTTCCTGCTGCTGTTGCCAAAAATATTTTTTTCATCATGTACGCAAAATCCTATTACGTGCGAAAGTCCAAAAAGCCAGCAGCCAATCCACTGCAAGTTAGACCTCTAAAACGACTGCCACAAACTATCCGAAGTCGGCAAAAAGTGCAAAAAACATCCCGCAAAAAGTGCGACATGACTTTCCCTCTTACGCGGAACTTGGCCAATGGCGGCGGCTATGTGGCCTATCTTGATCGTAGTCTCAAATGGCGACCCCTGCCCAGCTTTTCCGTCCACTTTCCAACACCAAAAAAATGGCAGCGAATTTTGACAGGATTTCACGTGGTGTTGACGTCGCGCACCCAGGGAAAAGCGAGCACTAGAACTTACACTTTCCTTTCTCGTGGAAGATCGCGCTCGCGCGACAGGCGGGGGGGTGATTGTCGGAAAAATGGAGCCATTCCAGGAGTGTTCTCTCTCTCTCTCTCTCCTCTCTCTCTCTCTATCTCTTTCTCAATAAACAACAAGAGATCCGCCCGGAAGATGCGCACGTAGAGCCCCTTTTTGTTTCCGGTTTTTGCGCTATAGCAAAACTGCATAAGACCATAAAAAAATTACCTGGTTTTTGTTTAACAATGTGCTCTATTGCATTGTTTCTGCAACGCTACTGTTCCTCGCGTAGTTAATTCCATTTTTTCCCATTCACAATTCCCGCACACAATTCAACTAACACGTTTTATTCATAATTTAATCACGGTAAAAAATGCAACATTACGAATTTGCAACTTTCAGTTCAAAGATGACGGAGGGCGGCGTAGTGACGGCTCTGTCGGTGCCGTCGAATTCGCTGCGCTGCCGGGCCCAGTCGGAATGCCAAGAAGCCCGCCAGGCCCGCCACGAGGTCACCAAACTCCGGATGAGCTCAAAGAAGGTAGGCCTGCTCGTTAAATGGGTTATTTTAGAGTAGCATTTGACTTAAATTCCATTCTTTTTGCAGGGCGTCGGAGACAAACTGCACCAGGGCGACCGCACCTACGAGAGCATCGACGAGTTCCTGCGCAAAAATGTCGACGACAAGCACAAGCGGACGCCGATTCGGAAGGTTGGTCGGAGACGTCTGATTCCCAGCTCTACACCTGCTCCCCTCAAAATCTGTAACAACGACGCATGTTCCAGATTCTTGTCGCTACAAACGGTATCGCGGCCGTCAAGTGTATGCAGGCGATGAGGAAACAGATGCAGCAGCTCTTCAACAACGACCACATTGTCTCGTTCATCTGCATGACTACCGAACACGAGATTCGCTCAAACGCAGGTAATCGCGCGTGTCTTTTTGGGGTGTGGAATTGGCAGTGTTTATGGTTTTTGCTCTGCGTCTTTCTCTCCCTCTCTCTCTCTCTCTCTCTCGCTTTCATAGGCGAGAATGGGGCCAATTTCGACGTAAAAAGTTTCATATTGGCAGCATTCTTTGCAAGTCTAAGCAGAACTAGCCCGACGAACTCGAGATTTTCAAAGAAATCTTGAAAAAGAATGCTTTTTCAGAATACCTAAAATTGGCCGACTGTGTGGTCCACTCCCCCGGCGGCGACAACAAGAACAACTATGCGAACGTGCACGAGATCGTCTCGCACGCCATGGAAAATAAGGTGTGAAGAAAACTACATAGAGACTCTGTTCGCTTGAATGAGTCTGGCTGTCTTCGGTGTACCTTTAATACCCGCCAGAACCACGTATTTACAGGTTGACGCCGTGTGGGCCGGATGGGGACACGCATCGGAGAACCCCGAGCTCCCCAAGAAGCTGCACGAGAACAACATCATGTTCATCGGCCCGCCCAGCAACGCAATGTTCTCCCTCGGAGACAAGATCGCCTCCAGCATCATTGCTCAGGTAGGAATCGGCCTCGATCGGCAGCTATAACCCCCTTTCAGACTGTCAACATCCCAACCATAAACTGGTCGGGCTCCGGGCTGAAGCTCGACACTTCCGGCCACCAGAAGGGCCCCATCGAAGTATCGACCGAGCTGTTCCGGAAGGCCTGCGTCCTCTCCGTGCAGGAAGGGCTCGAGGCGATGCGTCGACACAACATCACCTACCCGATGATGGTTAGTTGTAGAGATGTTACGCATACGAATACGATATGCTACTTCCGGCAAATTAGCCCGATATGCATATCTGATTTGAGAAAGTGCGCGAGCAATTCGAATACGATGATCGTATTCGAATAAGCTCTGGGTAAATCCCGATGCGACGATTCGCATATCGGCTTCACGTCGGGATAAAAAGCTAATTAGCAATTCAAGACGAAATGCTATGTAAATATCAAAATATTGGCACATCCACCGGAAATGACCGGGAAATTGGCTCCTAAATCTATTCAAATTATGCAGATTCTGACTACTTGTTTCGATTTTCCGACCGTTTTCTTCGTAATATCGCTTTGCATCCAAATTAGCTTATTATCCCGATGTGAACCGGTTTAAACGAATACGATCGTCGCATTCGCCTGGTGCCGACGCTAATTCGAATACGACGATCGGGTCGGAATTGGGACATTTTTGATTCCGACGCTTATTCGAATACGACGTGTAACTCCTATGTCGTATTCGTATGCGTAACATCTCTAGTTAGTTGGACTCGGGGGTTTGGGCATAGGTTTGGGCTTAGGCTCAGGCTTACCTTAGGCTTAGGCTTAGGCTGAAGCTTCGTCTAGTTAAGGCCTAAGACAGCCCATTAATGCTAAGTGCCTAAACAGCCGTTCTGATCGGGTTCACGAACTCCAAAGTCACGCTTTTTTCGGCGTTCCTCCAGCCCCGCTTATCGCGCTTGCAAAGTTTTTTCTGAGGCATGATTCGGCCAGACTTTACCCCTTCTCAATTCCTATCTGACGGCCGTTATCAGCTGATCTTTCCCGGGCGGTGTCGCGGGTCAAGGCGGTGGGCCCCGAATGGCATGATGCTCGCTCTAAAAAGGACGTGAACGCAGATTTTAGTGAGCAAATAAAAATTCTGCAAATCTCTAAAAGCGATCGATTAAAAATAATCAAATTAGCTCCCGTTTTTCAGATAAAAGCCTCTGAAGGTGGCGGTGGCAAGGGCATCAGAAAGTGTAAGAATGAGGCCGACTTCCGCGAGAACTTTGACCAAGTTCAGGTAAGCATTTTCACGCATTAATGGGTGCTTTTTAACTTAAAAACCCCATAAAAAATTATTTCTCGATTTCAGGCCGAGGTGCCCAACTCGCCAATCTTCCTGATGAAATGCCTGGAGAACGCTCGGCACATCGAGGTGCAACTGCTCGCCGATCGCTACGGGACCACCATCCCGATCTTCACCCGCGACTGTTCCATCCAGCGCCGTTGCCAGAAGATCATCGAAGAAGCCCCGGCCTGCATCGCACCCGAGCGCACACTTCGCAGGATGCAAGAAGACGCCGTGCGCATCGCCAACCTCGTCGGGTACGAGTCGGCCGGTACCGTGGAGTACATGTACCTCCCCGACGAGGACAAGTACTTCTTCCTCGAGCTGAACCCGAGATTGCAGGTATTAGGTTTAAAGGGAAACATCTTCACAAAACACCAAAACAATTTCCTGCAAAACGATGCCCATTTTTTAGGTGGAGCACCCGTGCACAGAGATGTTGGCCAGCATCAACATCCCGGCCATCCAGCTACAGATCGCCATGGGACTGCCGCTGCACCGCATCGAGGAGATCCGCCTCTTTTACGGTAAAACGTCTAGGACCCGCTAAAAACTGCGATTTTTAGACCTCGACCGCTACGGAGACTCGCCCCTGCCTGTGCAACTCGTCCGCACCGACGCCCAGTACGCCGTCATCGCCGCCCGAATCACCAGCGAGGTACGGTGGCATTGTTTGATTTCACGATGGCTTTAGGATCCCGAAGATTTCTTCCGCCCGTCCACCGGCTCCCTCGAGTACCTGCAGTTCCGGTCGGCACAAAACGTGTGGGGCTACTTCTCGGTGTCGAGCGCCGGCAAGGTGCACGAGTTTGCCGACTCGCAGTTTGGGCATCTCTTCGCCCGTGGCAGGACCCGGTGGGCAGACTTTTTTCTTTTCTCGCTCTCTCTCGCTCGCTCTCTCTCTCACTGCGAATGCCACGACGTACAAACTTCTGTTTCAGTCACGAAGCCGTCTCCTCAATGCTGTGCGCCCTGCAGGAGCTGGAACTCCGCGCCTCGTTCGCCTCGCAGGTCTCCTACCTGGTCGACCTGCTGAAAGAGGCCGACTTCACCCAGAATCGCTTCAACACCCAGTGGCTTGACAACCGCATCGCCAACAAAGTCGTCCAGGTGAGGGCTGGTTTGTAAAATAACGAACGCGTGATAGTGGGATCCAATTAACGGCGAACGGGATAAAGTAAGTGCGGAAAGTGTCGTAAGGTTCATGTGGTAGCACGTCTTTTTAAAATCGTGAAAGCGGAAAAGCAAAGCGAATTTGGTCGCGCTTTTGTGAAATTATTGCTTGAATCGAAACTGTACCGGATCCAGCAAATTCTAATTTTCCCAGAAAGCCCCGCTGCCTCGCCACGAGATGATGGCCGTCTCCTCGGCTGTCATCGGCCACGCGCGCATCTTTGCCGCCTTCAACAATTTCAAGTGCGCTGTGCAGCGCGGCCAGGTTCTCCCCACTAAAGACCTGACCGAGACATTCCTCTTCGATCTCGTCAAGGACATGAGCATCTACCGGGTAAGCTCCAAAATGTTTAGCTTCAACTTTTTGTAGGTCCAAGTCACCCGCACCGGCCCTCTCACCTACCGTATCGAGCTGAATGGCGCGCACACCGAGGTGGAGATTCGCCTCCTTGGAGATGGCTCCCTGCTGGTGACGCACAACGATCGCTGCTACACCTGTCATCTGGAGGAGACGGCCGAGAGGTTCAAGGTGGGCGAGGGGGGAAAGCTGCGAAACCGGCTCTCTTCTTATAGGTGACGATCGGTCGCTCGCTCGTCGTCTTCGAGAAGGACAACGACCCGTCCGTCCTAAAGAGCCCCTACACCGGCAAACTGTTGTCGTTCAAGAAAGAGAACCGCGAATGGGTCAACGTCGGGCAGGTTTGTGCCTTGCCAGACCCTTTAATTTCCCTCAAAGCCCAAGCCAGAGGTCGACCATTACTGCGCAAAAACACCCAGTTCCATGTTCAGGTCTACGCCCAAATCGAGTCGATGAAGCTGGTCTTCAACGTAGAGGTGAAGCGCGCACCCGGACGACTCGTGCACGTGGCCAAGGAGGGCGACCTGCTCTACCCCGGCTCCGTCATTGCCAAGCTCGTCGACCAGAAGGACTGCGAGAAGTACAAGCCGCAGCCGTTCACGCAGCCTTTCGAGGAGTGGACGCTAGCCCGGGCGGCTAAGAAGACACTCACCGAGCCGAAGCGCTTCTCCGGCCTCTACGACCGTTGCGTCAATATTCTAAACGGGACTGTACCACCAGGCACCGAGTCGCGAATGCCGGACATGGTTGCCGAGCTGTTCGAGTGCTTGGAAAACCCGAAATTGGCCGTTGCCATGTGCGCTCAGGTGAGGAATTCTGAGGAGTGTAGAAGCCTGAGCGCGAATTTTATCTGAATTCCATTTTCCAGGCCCTTCAATCGACGCGCTTACCCGAGGAGGTGCTAAAGAAGCTGCGCGAGGCCGAGAAGCTGGGCGGCTGCGAGCGATTCGACCGGATGCTCGACGTGCTGAACAACTACTTGGCCGGGCTCGCACCCACCGAGTGGGAGACGGCAAGAGCTGTTTGCAACACCCTCTACACGACCTGCGACATTCTGAAGGTGCGTGATCTCAAGCACACTCTATTAATGCCTATTCTAGGGAGGTACCTTCGGCCACACCGTCCACGTTCTCAACCAGTTGCTCGACGAGTACAAGCACATCGAATCCTACTTCGAGGGCCGCACCTACGACGACGCGGTCGCCATGCTCAACCAGGAGGTATGCAACTTTACAAAGATTGAACGAATGAAAAATTTTTCCAGTTCGAGACTGACAAGGACCGTGTCGTGGCTATCATCTACTCGCACACGCAGATCAAGAAGAAGAACATCTTCATGCAGGCCCTCCTGAATGCCGTCGAACTTCGCGGAATGCACTTGGTGGGTTGCGCTACATCAACTGACCGAAGACAATAATCCCAGGTGGCTCCCCTTGCCGAGAACCTCCGCGAGATCGGCAACATGTTCCAAACAGAGGAGGTGTCGGAGAAGTGCCGCAACCTTCTGCTCCAGAACAACTACGTCAAGTACCGGAAGTTCGTCAACAAGGTGCTGTGGGACGCGGGCGCGATTCCGGTCGAGAAACGGGACGTGCTCGAGGTGAAGCCTGTGCAACAGGCGATCGAAGGGATCCGCGCGCATCTCCGCCAGATTGCCGCCACCAAGGACGAGCACGGTATGCAGCGCGTGCTCAAGATCAGCCCCTGGGTGCATAAGGTGGGCTCAGGCTTTTGGTATTAATACAGATTTGCGGTTATAGGTCCTGCACGAGTACTTCTTCGACGAGATCTGCGGTGACCTGGCTGTCCGCGCATACATCGGACTACACTTTACGGGCTCTGCCGTGACGGCAAGCCGGCTGAAGTGCGGGGCCACGGCCTACGATTTCTCCGTGGACTCGTCGTCGCTGGTGCACGCGGTCGCCAACTTTGACTCCCAGCAGCACATCTCCATCATCAAGTTCCCGGTAGGTTAAGAAGTCGAGTAGAGAGAAGTACCTCAAGGAGTTTTTTAAAGTTGTACATTTCTAGGCGGCCACCCACCAGACCCTGATCGCGCTCACCGGCCCCGAGCTCGTCAGCGAGCTGATCAGCCGCTACAACGGGCTGAAGACCGTGGCGAACGGACGGCGCACACCACTGCGCGTCACCTTCCTCGTCGAGATGCCCGAAGAGGAGGCGATGGCCCGCAAGCAGTTGTCCAACCACCGCGAGGCGCTGCTCGAGGAGCTGCCCGCCAACACCAAGGAGTAAGCCCTATAACCTTCACGAAATACCTTATCGTTCCTTTTTAGCAAACAGAGGTGTGTAGTGTATAGCCGGGTGTCGTGTGGTGGTGGTAAAGCTATTCGTTGCCCCCGCTGTGGCTTATTCCCCATGCTTTCATGCTTCTCGGGCTTTGCTCTCCCCATTGGATTCTTGCAATCCCGGCATGCTTCTCCATCTGCCTTTCCCCCTGGGGCTTTGCAGAAAATAGCTTCATCCCGGGATTTGGCTTTTCCTTCCCCCATTAATGCGGTCACAAAACTTTGAAAAGGCTGTCTTAACCATGATTTTCCAGGGAAGATGAAACCCTTGCGATGGCCGACCGCGTGGCCACCGAGGTCCGAGATGCACTCTCCCAGAAGCTGTCCGCCTTCGAGGTGTCGGCCCACGTTCTGGTCTGCCAGCCAAATCGTCCCCTCGTCCAGGTTGGTTCACGACCAAATTTGTGCTTATTAATCTACTTTGAAGCAAAAATTCATTCGTTTCTTTAGCTGGACATGATGACGACCGAGCGTCTGGAGCTGTGGCGACTTCCCTCCGAGGCCCAGCTCGTCTCTGATCGCTTTTCCTCCCTGCGCGTCTTCAAATATGATGACGTCGACCGGAAACACGCCCGACTTTTTGTCCGCGAGGTATGAAACTGAAACTAAAATGTCAGTACCCGATCCTCCAGGTGGTCGAGGTGCCCGTCCGAGATGGCGATAACTTCTACGATGAGACGCAAGCCTTGCTCCTTTCCGAGATCGACTCCGCCTGTGGCGCCATCAACGTCACCATGCGACGCTTCGACAAGCAGAGGAAGAGCGTCTACGTCAGCAACCACATTCTGCTGCACGTCACCTTCCCAAAACTACCACGCGACTTTACCAAGGTGGGAGAAATATGGTTTTAGGGTCTTTCTTAAACCGCGCTCATCGGGTAACGTTGCAGAGCTGGTTTCAGAAGAACGAGGAGCAACTCGATCTCCTCATCGAGGAGGCCATTCGGGAACAGCGTGCCATTCTTCTGAAGCACTCGGTCACCGAGGTCGAGGTCGTGCTCCCGAAGGTCGGCAGCGATGGTCGCCCCCTCAATCGTCGCGTCAAGTTCCACGACACGACGGGCGTGACGGCTGAATTCGGAATCTTTGATGAGCACCAGGTGAGTGCCCTTATCACTGGTCTATGATTAAAATATTCAGAGGCACATCATCACCCGCAAGTTGTCCCACCAACTCTACGGCGAGCAACTGCACCGTCACAACGTCATCCGGAAGATTGAGAAGAAGCGCGCGGTGACGAAGGCCATTGGCACGACGTACGTCTACGATCTGCCGATGCTCTTCGGCCGGGCCACGCTCGAGAGATGGAAGACGTTGCAGGAGGAGGCTGACACCTCTAGGGGTGATCTCTTCAATAGGTAGGCACTGAAATGCGGATATCGTTACCTGGATTTTAGACAACTCGAGCAGCTGTCGGTGGATCAGCAAGAGGCGTTCTTCAACGGCGACCATCGACCGTTCTTCTCGCAGATCGAGCTGACCGTCCGGGATGGAGTGCTCATCAAGGTAATGGACCTGGCTTTCCATCAATCTCGGGCTGTTCAGGTGACCGACCAATATGAGCTGCGTCGTCGCGCCGACAACTGCAACAACGAGACCGGCGTCGTCGCCTGGCAGCTCACCCTGCACACCCCGGAGAAGCCGCTTGGGTAAGTGGTGTCTTCGGGTTGTTGACTCTGCTTTTTCAGATACACTTGCGTCGTCATTGCCAACGACATCACCTTCCAGTCTGGCTCGTTCGCCATGCCAGAAGATCACGTCTACACCATGGCGTCCGAATATTCGAGAAAGCACAAGGTAAATCACCATCTCCAGCGTCTGACCCACCACCACCAGATTCCGCGCGTCAACATCTCGGCCAACTCTGGAGCAAGAATCGGGATCGCCGACGAGGTGGCCCAGCACTTCCGCGCCAAGTTCAAAGACCCCGAGCACCCGGAAGAAGGTAGGGATGCATAATTGCTCGAGACTTAACCTCATTTCCTTAGGCTTCGACTATCTGTACGTGAACGCCGACGTTGACGAGCGGGTGAAGGAGCAGCTCGTCTACGAGAAGATGCCCAACCAACTGGAGCTGCGCATCAAGGCCGTCATCGGGCGCACCAACGAGCACATCGGTGTCGAGAACCTGCAGGGGTCTGGGTTGATTGCTGGTGAGACGTCGGCAGCCTACGATCAGGTGAGGGTTGAATCAGCTAACGATGCGGCTGACCTAAACGCTGGCACGATCCCGTTCACGCAAGTTGTTCTAGGTGCCGACCTATTGCCTGGTGACCGGCAGATCCGTTGGAATCGGTGCCTACACCGCTCGATTGGCCCACCGTATCGTCCAGGTGAACTGGCATTCATTCATCATCTTATTGTACTCCTTCTAGACCCGCAACTCTCACCTCATCCTCACCGGCGCCGGAGCGCTGAACACCGTGCTCGGCAAGGAGGTGTACACCTCGAACAATCAGCTCGGTGGAATTCAGGTGCTAAATTGGTTTCCCGTTTTTACACCATCGCTCCAGATCATGCACAAAAACGGCGTGACGCACAACGTCGTCGAGGATGACTTTGAGGGAGTGTGCAAGATTCTGCACTGGCTCAGCTACCTGCCCGACAAGGTCGGTTGACCCCCCAAATGGTGAATTTAAACTCCTTCTATTTTAGTTGGAGAACTTCCCGTACATGCGCACGTACGGCACCGACTCGGCCCCACGACCCGTCACCTTCCCAATCGAAGACGCCAAGATCTACGACGTGCGCCAGCTGATCGACAGCCGCGACTCGAAACACTTCGAGGTGTGTACTTAAGACGCTTAGATACTTTAAAAGAAGGTTTGGATAGCGAATGGAGTACTTTAGCATTATCGGGGGGCACGTTTTACGCCTAGTGAAAAAATCAAACTCTCCTAAATGCCTGTGTTAGGACTCTGTCTTAGGAAAAGTTCAGTTTCCCTTTGGAACCACCAAAACGCCGAAAAAATTGGAGTTCCCATGCTAAAGAGTCCCAAAACTTTTTCAAGCAGTTCAAGCAACTGTCCAATTTCCAGGGTATCTGCGACAGCAACTCGTTCGATGAGATCATGTCCGAGTGGGCGAAGACGATCGTCGCCGGACGCGCACGGCTCGGTGGCATCCCCATCGGTGTCCTGTCGTCGGAGCTGCGGAACGTGAAGACCACGATCCCGGCTGACCCCGCCTGCACCGACTCCCAGTCGATAGATGTCCACCAGGCCGGCCAGGTAAGCTTGAGTTTCTTACCTAATAAGTGATCCTGATAAGAAAACCATGTAGCAAATAAAAAAACCATGCGCATTTTTCAGGTTTGGTACCCGGACTCCGCGTTCAAGACCGCCGAGGCCATCAACGACTTCAACCGCGAGAATCTGCCCCTGCTCTTCATCGCCTCCCTTCGTGGCTTCTCCGGCGGCCAGCAAGACATGTACCAGGTTTGCATACAGATCCTGGGCCACCAACCATTACACCATTCAGATGGTGCTCAAATTCGGCGCCCACATCGTCGACGCGTTGCGCAACTACAAGCAGCCGGTGATCATCTACATCCCCAGCGGTGGTGAGCTGCGTGGAGGCGCTTGGGTCGTGCTCGACTCAAAGATCAACCCCGGCTTCATTCAAATGGTAGGGGTTTTAGATAAGTTGGGATAGAACCTTTCCCTAAGCCTAAGCCTAAAAAACTAAGCCTAAGCCTAAGCCCAAACCCAAGCCTGTCAACCTGAACGGAAGCTCTCCCTTTCCAGGTAGCCGACGAAGAGTCGCGCGGTGGCATCCTGGAGCCCCCCGCCGTCATCGGCATCAAGTTCAAGGCCGAGAAGATGAGGGCCCTTCAACGTCGTAACGACCCGATCCTCATCCGACTCCAACAGGAGCTGGACGAGGCGAAGAAGGCCGACAAGGACCCGGTGATTGCGACCACCGAGGCGACGCGACTACGGCGACTGATTGACGAGCGCTCCGAGGGACTCCTGAAGGCGTACCGCGGAGTTGCCGTTGAATTTGCGGATCTGCACGACAGGTGGGAACGAGCACAAATATTTCCTAGTACCGCGTTTCAAAAGGAGTCCGAGGACCTAACAAAAATTTCAGAGCCGAGCGCATGCAGAAGAAGGGTGCCGTGCAACACGTGACGCCGCTGCGCGAATCGCGAAACCTGTTCATCAACATTCTCAAGACCGAGTCGGCCAAGATCGCCCTCTGCGAGCGGTGGGTGCTGATTCCCAGAAGCCATCGGCTTTATCGACCTGCCCTCAAAGCTATTTGCCGATTTCAGATACCTGGTGAAGGCGCCGCGTGACGCTACCCCACAAGAAGCCTACGAATGGGTGGGCGAGACGCTGGAGAAGTTCCACAGCGGCTTCCGGGCACTTGGACCCGCCGAGCAGTACCCGGTCGTCGCCCAGTTTGTCGAGGGCCAAGAGGCTCAGAAGCAGCTGCGCGCCGTCCACGAGGGTTCCGTTGAAAGGTGGGTTTTTGTCGTAAAATTGGTATAAAATCGGTACTGGTCTGTTAACGAGCGGATTTAGCCAGTAATCCCTTGCGGATTAGCAAGGAAGTATAAATTACTTGCGCAGTTTTTAGAGATGAGAAGCCCATAAAAACATCACATTTTTGGAACAAAGCTGCGGTTTGATGGTAAAAAATGTACGAAAATGACCAAAAGGCGAAATTGTGAAACGTTTGAACTTTCTAGCAATCAAGCGCTACTAAAAACACTATAAAACTATATAAAATATTAACGAGTGTTATAGACGGAAAACTAAGTTAATTTTCCATGGCTGAAAACACTCTCCTCCCCCCCCGCTAACAGTCCAGTACCGTATAGCCTCTTAAAATAGCTCTAGCGAAGTTCCGCGAAGCTCATTCTAAAAATTTGTTATTGCAGAGACCTACTCGGCCTCAGCGACGACGAGCTGCGGCAGATGAAGGCTCTTTTGGAGAAGTGTGCAGCCGCGCGTCGCATCTCCCTCTAGAAGACGTCCTCCACCCTTCCCCAATTTCGCTTCAATTTCGCTCTGTGATTTATTTGCCATAGTGCGCTTGCCGCGTGGGCTGGACCTTCTCCTCAACCCCCTCCTCCGTCGATTCTTGAGGTGTTTTTGGGTTTTTAATTGGCTTTTTCTTGTGCTGTTCCCGTCACCGAACTCTCACCGAAATGTGCTCACTTCTTAACATGAATCTTAGCCACCCCCCCAGCAATGCACCCCCCCCCCCTTACCGTATGCTGGCATTACACGGGCCCTCCCCCCACCCCCTGCCTATTTAGAATTTATTTTATCACTTCTTTTCCTGTGAGTGTGTGTGTTTTGCCGAATTGTGATATGTGGTATTCTGGTGTGTCTTTTGCGCTTCTACCCAATTGCTTATAGAGTCTTTTTCTAGAGTTTCTATTGGCTCCCTTCCCCCCCCCCCGTCTTTTCCCTGTTTTCTTTGTTCATTACCTAAATGGGGCAAAACTGTGATCATTTACCTGCTTGGCCTTAAGTCTTTATTAATAAAGTCAATTGGTTATTACTGACTTTTACAGGAAACACAAATGGAATTACCAAAAGGCACTTTGGCGGGAAAGACGAGAATATGCAGTGTGGATAAAGGAGTTCGGTCACAAAAATCGAACTAAGCGAGATTCATTAGAAAAAACACATTAAGAACGTTATCGACCCAAAGACTAGTAATTTTTGAAAATAAACTACCACCCGCACGAGATAAACCAAAAAAAAAATATTTCCCAATCATACGGTCGCGTTCTGAAGTGCTGATCGCATGTAAATGCCCCAGTAGACAAAATTGTAGAACGAGTACGCACCTATGCAACTTGAAATAAGGATTGGGGCGTTTGAACTCACATGGAAACAGTATCCTCGCGTACAGGTCCATCGTTTCCCCCCTTTTCAGTCGTGGGGTCGGAGGGGCGGGCTCTGTGCTGCCTCCTGATAAGTTCCAGCGCCGCGTCGGCTAAATGGGATACGGTATGAGAGAGATAGAGAGAGAGAGAGAGAGAGAGAGAGAGAGAGAGAGAAACGGAGAGGGGGATGGATAGAGAGAGCTATTGGAGCCTTGCCAAAAATCCACGCTCACCCGCCCAAAATATTGCGCAAAAAGACTGGGGCCTACTCACCCGTTTTGTTTGCGCCGGCTTGTCCTCCTTTCGCATGCTGAACCCAATCAACGCCAGCTCCACCAGCGAGGCAAACACAAAAAAGATGCCGCTGAAATTCGAGGTACTTCTTATCGCGTAAAAAAATGTTGGAATCGAGTATCCGCCAAACACGGTCACAAACATATTCACAACCTACCCCATCATCCAGACGTCAATCGCCTAAAGCTTGTTTTTTCGGCGGAAGTTCTCTGGTACCTTGACATAAGACACTCGCGGTAGATTCCGGATGATATTCCCAAATTGAAAGGTCATGGCTAGAAGCGCATTCACTCCGATCATGGTCCTAGCTGGGATGGCCCGGGGCCCGAGATAAAACGGTATCCACGAAATAAACGTTGTCATGTAGGTAGGAATATAGCCTGAAAATCTGTTCGTTGATGATTCTACATTGCTCAAAATCACCTTGCAACAAATACCACCCATAGCGGCGCCGGAACAGGAACTTCACCGACAGCTCGTCCCAACTTCCGGCCGCATATTGCTTCGCCGAGTTGTTGACGTAGTAGTGGACCATCGAGAAATCGGGCAATTCGATTGCTTTGAAGATATCGATTTGAACGTCGGTCCATCGCATTCGGACCTGGAAATAATGGGGGAGGTGATCGTAAGCTTAGGCTTGGGTTTTGCTTAGGCTCAGGCTTAGGCTCAGACCTAAGCTTAGATTTAAGATTAGGCGTGGGCAGGCCCGTAGCGGAACCGAAATTTCGGGGGGCCCAAAAATTTTGGCGACCTCCCCCCCCCCCCGCTCGCCACTTTTAAAACATCCCAAAAATCGCGTCAATAATAGCGCCGCAGGCAAAAAAATAGCAAAAATCGTTCGCTACACTCAAATTCGTGTGAAAACAAAATAGGCTTCATATAAGTAAAAACTGTTTGAAAAACAGCAATAAACAGCGCCGCAGGCAGAAAAATTTTTGTAATTAAAAATCATAAGGGTCCCCCCTTATGAATTTTTCAGACCTCGACCGATTTCGGGGGGAGGGCCCCTTCGGCCCCCAGGCCCTGGGCGTGGGTTAGGCTTGGCTTAATTAGGCTAAAACGTAGTAAATCGAGAAATAAACCAATTAAATCACGATATGTGGAAGTAAATCTCGTATTCCGTTATTCTCCTTTTAAGGCAATGCTTGATTTAGCGCAAGGGATGTGAAACCGAATACACGCCTAGAAAGCCTAATCCCTCCTTGGCCAAAATGGCGTAGCCCCCCAAAATCCCCAAACGACAAAAATCCATAAAGCAATATGCAGAGGAGCGCAAGACCATTAAAATTGACCTCCTTATTGTTATAGTTGAAGCTCTCAAAGACGAGGTTGCAATCGATCGAGTCCATCGGAAATTTTGAGAGATCCATCTCGCACGGTCCCGTCGTTTTGATTCGCCAATTTGACCAGATAGAGCCTAAAAACGACTTTAGCTAGAAAATTTAATGGAATTTCTATACAAAGCGCTTTCCGAGATATTTCTGTATACCAGAGAATCTTCAAAAAAGCGAAAAAGCAGCTTCAAAAATATACCATTGGGGAAAACCATTAGAAAAATGTTGACGAACGGCGACTTGTGAATTTGGGCAGTCTTCGAATTGACGAAGCATGTGTTCGGTGTCCAGATCGTCTCCAGCATCGTATAGTCGAAGGAAATATTTCGATGACAGGGATTCAGGTGATCGTAGACGAGCCCCGGATCTTGCCAAAACTCGTTCATGTAAACGTCTAAACTCTTCTTTTTGGGCGCCAACCGGAAGCCACGTTTTTTGGGCGACAAAACCACTTACCAATCTGGAAATCCTGCGTCATTTCCGATACGGACGTGATTTCCTGGACCCACATCTCCACCCGCACGTCAACAGGAATGGCAGGGATTTTATATTGATTGTAGTGTAAAGACGTGTCGTAGAGGATATAGTCGATCACCTCGGTGTCGTTGGCGCATCTAAAAAGGGCTGGGTCTTCGTAATATAGTTACAATTAAAAGTAATCTGGGGGGGTTAGTCCTATCCATTTCGGCTGACTTTTTGACTAAAAAAGGAGACTTTTTAGTGACAATCGTGTTTCCGTACGAGATCATGCGTATCTTGTGCCAAATTTTGCCCTGATTCTGAACCTGTATCATAATCTGCGAAACGATCAGGTTCAAGAAGTTACGAACGCTCAAAATGGCCCAATTTGGGCAAGTATTTGCCTTTTTGTCGGAAAGGCTTCATACTTCTTGATTCTGAACGTTTTGCAGATTTTGAATCCGTGTTCGAAATCAGCGCAAAATTCTGCACAAGGTAGACGTGGTCCCTAATCCAAATTGGCATGGAGCTAAAAACGCCTCCTTGTAGTCCGGTCAGAAACTCTCCGCCTTAATTGCAGGGCATACTTGAGGGCCAAAACGACGTCATCTTACCATTAATATTTTCCCGACTTACCTCGGCGTGGCGCCCGCCTTCGCAGCAGCCGACCAACCGATTATAGCGGCTAAACACACGAGCAAGACGCTGAAGCCGAGCATCGTCTCGCGTCGTCGGGATTGTCGCCCCCCCGCTGCCGTCGTCGTTGGTCCCAGGGGTGTGTGGGGAAGGGGAGTCTGGGCCCTCTGCTTGGCCTCTGCTTGGCCCAGCCCCCCCTTTCGTCGTCCGGGCGAAAATTGGCTCTTCTTTCGGAGCGGGAGGGCCCTCTGACCTCTTCACCCCTCCAGAAGACGGGGACTCTATCGCCTCGTCTCTTGCGTCGCTTCCTCCACCCTCAGGTAATCGCATCAGATGCTGGGCCGACAGTAGTAAAAGAGCGTCCATCCCCCCCCCCGCCCGTATCCCCCGGGATGCCCCCGGGGCCCAGGCCATCGATGGCCCGCCCCGGATTGGATTTGGTATTAATGCGCTCTTGATCTTAAGATTTAGGATAAATTTTGTTTATACCTGAGTTTGCTTCAATTTAGCGCGTAAGCCGATGCTTGGACCTCGCTTAAAGGGCTGCCGACGGCATGTGTCGATCCCCGCTCAGCAACAAATTGACAAGTAGCCAACAGGGGAGAGAGCACGCCCAGGGGAGAGGTGCAGAGACATTTTCTTTTCCGCGCGTAACCGATTGACTATGCCGTCGGCATCCCTTTAAGGAGTTTGAGGTTAAGCACAAGCTTCAGCTTTCGGCTGGGCTTAGGCTCATTTTTAGGTACAACTAGACATAGGAGGCTTACTTGGACTTAAGCAAAGGCTTTTAGGCCTAGGGTTAGGCTTAGGTTCAGCCTTAGACGTAGGTTATGATTAGGCCTAAGCTTATGCTTAGGTTCGGCTTAGGCTTGGGCTTATGTTAGGCTCAGGCAGCTTGAAAGCATACGTGCGTTAGGCTTAGCTTCCGGCTTAGCCTTTGCTTACGTCGTCGAGGAGGGCCCAATTGACATCGGGGATATTTTCGAATGCGTGATTCACCGATAAAGCTCACACAATTCGGTGATATCCCAGATGCATATTGGGCCAGGGGGGAGAGGCTACAGTATCCATGGCAGAAATTTCGTAACGCGTGCCCCGCGGCGGGGTCCATATCAGCTTTTACTCAGGGTTTACGGCCGTGGAGAAGCTACCGTATTTCATCACCGTTGTGTTGCGGAATATTAGAGTTATCGGCGATTGATGGCTATATGACGGGTATTGGATTAGGTGAAAGGTATCGAAAAACCCAAAAACCAGTTGAAGTTTTGTTTTAAGAAAAACCTTTTTGAAACTATTGGGTCTGTGAAAGGAAAATTTAGCCAATTTCCATAGGTTTTGCTAGCTAAAAATACTTTTTGTATAGCTAGTCGTGCTCAATCACAAAAATTTAACCGATTTTCAGACGATTGGTGACTCGAAACATTGTTTTCAATATTAAGAGCGGAATTTAAAAAAGAAACAAATTTTTAACGGTTTTAAAAGGACTGATAACTCGAGCAATAAAATAGAACCTAAAATGCTATCAGTAGATGTTCAAAACATCTTACAAAAATCATCTAAGTCACCTACCGAAGACGCATGCACCCGACGCCCCGGGCTCAGCTAGCAGTTTGAATCCAGTGCGCTTATCCCGCCCGGCGACGAATGAACGGGCGAACGGCTCAATGAAAAAATCCAGCTCGAAAAAAATTGGGTCAAATCCTGGATATCAATGGCCTTGAAAAGTGCGTTCGCGGCTATCGTAGGAACGGGCTTGGGGCGTCGACCAGAAAAAAACGGGGTGTTTGATATCTCACGCTCCCCGCGGGGCTCGATTCAAATGTGACGCCCAGGAAATTTGAATCGGTGATCGGGAAGCACCGTATTCTCTTAAACGCCTAGTGATGGCAGAAAACTAGTTGAAAGCTTGATTGGGCTTCAAAAAATCATTGGCTTAGGCTTGGCTGTGGCTTAGGCTTGGGGTTAGGCTTAGGCTCAGGCTTGGGCTCAGGCTTGGGCTTAGGCTTGGGCTTGGCTTAGGCATAGGTATAGGCATAGGCATACGCTTAGTCTTAGGCTTAGACTTGACAAGAACCCACCTCGTATAAACCCGCACAACTTTTAAAATTCCAATAATAACATTAGCGAGCAAATAACTGATCAATATTGGGCCAGAAAATTGCAAAATTGCGAAATGTTAGCTACCGTACCGCGACATGGTTCTCCAAAAATTCAGACAGCCACTGGTGAATGGCGTGGGTTGTCGCTTAGTGCCTGGGTGTCTGTCAACCCGAAGCGTCGCGGAGTGGCAGCCAATGGCCCCCACAACGGCGTCTTTCGATAAGACCCCCCAGCAACTACTCGCAAACTCCCAAAATCGGCTGCTTATCACCTTACTGCCATACAGCCTGCCAGTCAGAGCCGGGGTCCCAAACGCTCACACATAAAAAGAAACCCCCGCCATTACCGGTATCCGAAGTCGGGTGTCTGGCTGTCAAAAAAAGACTAGGTAAAAATAGAAAATCATTGATCATCACAGCAAATCGGTTCCTTCAAACAAACCTGATAAAAACTTTACAAGTTTTTATGAAAACCATAAAAAAATAAAGATTTGTCGACCCAAAAAAAAGACTGATTTTCGGAGAAAACTTAGAATTTTTTCAATATTTTTTAAAGTTTTAGATAGTTTTCTAGTGTTCCATTTGCTACAATGCCGTTTTGGATGTTATCGCGGAAAATTTATCGTCACTTGAAAAAATACGTTACACTACGCCTCATCCTCGATCGGCCACTACGCAACTTGAAGATGATCTCTAGGCCCAAAATCGCAATGGCAATCGATAAACTCGTGATTTTAGGCCATGATAAACAAATCTTTCATAGTTTCCAAGCGTCGTTATCCCAATGAGGTATCTTATGCTACGAATTGCGCTGGCGCAAGTGTAGAGGTCGATGAAGGTCGTTCTCCTGAAATCCACCAAAAAACCTGCCAACTTTCTCAGCTTATCACCCGGTTCCGAGCACCACACCGTCGCCCCCCAAAAAAAACTCCCGCCATTACCAGTACCGCGCCCAGTATTTACATACAATGTGGAGGCCCCTCATTCGCGTCTTATCGCCGTATGCTAAATCGGACCTGTCTAGGCAACGCCAAAAAACTGTACTGTTAATTTTACGGGCTCCAATACCGGTTTTGGGCCCTCGGGGCAAACAAAGGGCTCATGATGTGGCGAGCGATGCCAGCCAACCCATTTTGCATAAACACCCTTTTGGGACAACGGGGGCTCAAACGTGATGATAAGTGCAGCATTTTTAGCGGGGAACACTACGGTTTTGACGAAAGTATGCACGTACTGTTTATAGGAAATTGACAATGCAAATCAGGGATGCCGTCGTGCACGAGATGGTTGCCCTTACCCCGGAAATTCAACAATTTCAAAAGTTTACGTAAATTACGACAACCACGGATATTATGCGGTAAAGTAAACGATTACATTGTTGATATGCACTTCTAAAAAAAAACAGAAAAACGAATGACATAGCACTATGTATACAGCTGACGATCGAGTATTTGGCGTGAGCAATAATTACGCAATACATCAAAAACGGAATGGTATATGGAATGACTAGATCGATAAAAGGAATCTTATGATATGAAATTGTAAAAGTGAATAGATACTTTAAGGGGTATGGGTCGGGGCCGAGGTCAAAGTTGGTGTGGACGGTTGACAGCAGCCGGTCTCCTTCTGGCACGCTGACGCCACGCATCCGCTCCACGGCATCCCGCTCGCGCCTTCCGTCACGAATTTCGGCTCGACCAGCACCTAGCAAAATTACATATATAGTGTTAAATTATGATATAAATATACAGGGTTTCTCAATACGCTAGGAACACCATCCGAGCACTTGAAACGGTGAGTTTGCAGCAATCTTCAAAATCATGTTTTGATATAAATTCGCTCTTTTATAATGAATTTAAAAACATTAACGACGGCCTCTGCAGCTAATTAACGCCAATTTGCCTAATTTGCCATCAGAAACTTCTATCACACTAGCTTCTATTCAACCCTAAAAAACCGGGAAATCTTACAAAATGGCTTCAAGATTGCTGAAAACCCGCCGCTTTAATGGCGTTCGAATGGCGTGACTATCGCTTCGATCCGATACCTCTGCAGCGAGTTAGAGGGGGTGTGTTTTTATTGGGACTCGTTGTATTGCTAGTGTTTTAATGGTTCTTTCGCATCGGTGGGGGGCTCAAAGGAGTTTTACCAGCGGGGAGAACGAAATCTTTGCCTGGGCTTTCCAGATGTCATAATACAGACGCGTACACATTTTCCGCACTATTACGTTGCCAATTTTGTTTTCATAGGTGCGTCCCCAAAATTATAAAACTTGACTACGCAGGCTGAAATACTGCCTCGATATCTGCTAGGCACGCTTGGAAACAGAGGATTCGCCGGCCGATAATGCGAAAGCACCATTACCATAAATTATACCACACCAGCGCCCAAAACCCGCTTCGCGGGCCTTGGGCGCTAGAATGCTGCCTTTGCATGAAAAATTTAACTTTCCGATAGCTCGGGTCCTGCGGACCCCCCTCCCCCCACCACACGCGCGCGTGCAACACGCAAGCATGAGCAATTTGTATTTTTTCACATTATGCAAATTAGCCCTCCCGGACCCCCAAAAATGAATAAAACCGGCTTTAACTTTGTAAACTTGTATTTTATCGGAATTCTGAAAACGCCATCTGAAAGAGAAGGGTCGATTACCCCACACGACGGAGAAACACACACACACATAAAGAGACACGCCAAAATTATATAAGGTAGGATTTATAAACACAAACCTTTTTCGCTCCTCCCTTGCACAACGCGCTTCTCATATACTTTGCGGCTTCCTCGTAGCGTTGCCGCGCGCTCTCCGCCCAATTTCTGGCTCGTCGATCCACCTATGAAAATTTTAGGCATGCCTCCTATACCCAAAATACCGTTAGCTCCAAGTGGATTAACGCTTCAAAAGCCGCCGGCCATTGGCGATAGACGTGGATATGCGAGCAGCGGATCCCTGGGAACTAAAAGGACCTTTATAACGCCTATATATTAAAGCAAACCGTAGAATTGATTTCGCTCTGGAAATCTTTCGGGTCAAAGAAGGTTGGCGTGTCGGCGAAGATGTAGGGCTTCAATCCTTTGACTAAACAAAAAAAAAGATTAGGCTTGAGAATGAAACTTACATGCAGGAAGAATGATGCCAACTGACGTGAAAACCACCATCAGCGATAAGATGGCATCCAATTTGTCTCCGGTGACGGCAAAGTCGAAGAAGTCGGCAAACTTTTGAATCGAAACCGCAATCACCTAAATACCAAGAATAAATTGAGAACCGGCAGCCTTGATACCAAGATTGGAGCCATGGCGTGGAGTAGCAGTTGCGCTGGACGCCAAAGACCGAGTGATGGAGCCAAGCCGGAAAGCACGAGCACCGACTTCACGATCAAATCCACGATGGCCACGTAGCGCCAGAGAACTAAACCTCAAAATGTAAAACAAACGCCTAGGTTACCATTTTGGTCGCTATGTAGGTGTTCGCCGTGGACTGACAACGCTTCAAATGCGTGAGTAAGCGAGACGAAAAGGATTGCAACGAACGCCACGCAAGCACATATCCTTAAAAAAGTTTCCTGCATAAGTTTGGCAACAAACCTGAAAAACAGCGCCTCTGATTTGTTGTCCATTGGTCGATACATCAAGATCATTAGAAGTACAGAGTTGGCGAGTAAGGTCGAGCACAGAATCGAATGCTCAACAACCGAGAGGCCAGTCTAAAAAAAAAAGAAATTTTTACCCGAAAAAGTGAAAACAACCTCCACCACGAACAGTGATAATACCAAAAAGAAGGCGGCGAGTTCGAGCGGCTTCAAAGACTTCATTGCCGCGGTTCAAAGGCCCGGTGGCCCAGGAGTGGCGAAGCTAAAACGGAGGAATAATAAGGTTTAGAAATACTTATAAACAAAAATCGGCGCTATGTCCGGGGGGGGGGGGGCATTTTTGGTAGCGAGTTTTTAGCACATCCCAGGCTATTTTTTTTGGGCTCATTTTGAATAAAGAAGAATGAAATTCGAAAGACAACAATTCCGATAAGTTTTAATTTGTAATTTTTATTACATTACACCCAAATTGAGTCTAAGAATAGGGGTGTCATCCGAAGCGACGGCCTGCCTTGCCTGACAATGCTAAAGGCCTTGGATTGTGCCCATATATAGCTGTCACGAATATAAATTCCCACAGGAATTTTGCAGCAAATTGACGGTTGTGCGTTCTTGTTTATGAGCACAAAAACCGCCCTAGAATGACCTAAAAACTCGATACCAAAAGTGGCCCAAACCATTGTGATGCTCACAATTATGTTCAAAATAAAAACCAACCTTTTTGGAATCTGCGATGAATGTGCTTGGGTTGTGGCCTCGAAAGCTGCGAAGATAGGAAGGAGGGCGTACGAGCAAATAAAGCCGATCCGATGTGTCACGCGTGAAGGATGGGATGATGTTGGCCCGCTCGTGCTCTGAAAATCTTTCAATCAATCGTGATATCAAAATATTTTTGCGAATGCGCGAAAGGGGGAAGCGTGAGGGCATGTAAGCCCCGCAGATTACGAGAAAAGTCGGCTTAGGGTCGGAGAGACGTGTAAGCCTGTCTAATGAACAGAGTGAGGCGAAAGATAAAACTATTCGACCAAATAACAAAAGATTTGCCTATTTTAGCAGTAAATTAATATAATATCAAAGATCACCGAAACGCCCCGAGAGGATTTCATTGCGTAAGAGTACGCGACAACACACGCCCCGCAGGGCTATCGTCGAAAAGTTAGCTCTAGAAGTTGTCTGATGGTTTTCTAATTGGAATCAAACTTGAATCATAACATAGGGGCATAACAAGATTATATAAATCCGTTATGCTATTTTGGATTTAAAGTAGACTATGCCCCTCCCCTGCACTTATATTTTTGGCCTTAGAGGGTCCAGGAAACGCGCGGAAAGACAAAAGTGTGGTTTTCTAACAGATAACACCACAAGGAGGACATAAAGCGGACCTGAATCGATTCTAACTTTGTGGGTGGCCTGGAGGACCATCAAACCGTGAATAATCCGGGAATCGGTTTCGCCTAGCTGTTTTCCCGGTATGTCGGGGGAGGCGTCGTGTGATGCGAGGGGAGAACGAGGTGGCAAAAAGCGTTTTCGAGGGCTGCCCCGAGACTGTGGCCTCGGATTACCCGACTCAACTCGTGTGCTCGGGTTCACACGAACCCACAATGTGGTTGCGCTAGAGGGGCTAGGGCCCTAAACGGAAAAAGCGGAAAATTGTGGAAAATTGCTTTTTTACAAGGACCCGGATCAAATGTTGAGAATTATTGATGCTGGAGTGGTAGGGTATTCCATAAACTTTAAAACGCACTGAGATACGGGTTGAAGATTTTCACGAAAATTTCAAGTTCAGCGCTAACAAGTCGAAGAAACTATGCATCTCTTTCGGTCGGTTTTCTTTATCACAGAAATATAAAGACTACCATGAGTTATTGAACTTTCAGACTCGATATGTTGGTAAAAAAACGGTAACTAATGATTTTTGGCCGAAAATCGCAAATTTCGACATTTATTAACGACATTTTGTGAAGTTTTAGCGCTTAGGAATAGCAAAGGACTGTTTAGAAATACTTCCACTATTTAGGTTTGAAAAATTAGATCTTAAGGACAATGGTTGGTTCCCCCCTCGATAATGCGCAAGTCACAATTTCCACTTTTTTGTTAGCGACAAGAGCGAACCGAGATTTTCCAGACAGCCCTGACAGCCTATCCCCCTGTGGCCATCCGGGCCTCCAACAGTGGCCCAGTTCCCGTGTCCGAATGTCTAGTAGTATTATTGGGACGTGTGTGGGCCATAGGGCTGGCGGTCAGCTGGCAGCTTCGAGGTGCATATCGACCCTGACTGCCTGGGGCCTCTTCGTCCACCCGCATATCTCGTTTGCCACGAAGCGCTTCGAAAACAGCGCCTATTATGCCGCAACTCCAGCTTCTTCCTGGCTTCCGCTTCTATCCTCCTATCCTCTTCCGCAATGCCTTTTTAAAAGCAAATAGGCTATAAAAACAAAGTCGATTCTTTATAAGCTTTATGAGTATCGTATTAGTGAGTTTTTTGTGGGTTTCAAGTTACTATGCAACCTTTCTGCCAAGAAGTACTACTACTACCATCTCAAAAATGAACAGCTGCCTTTTAGCTTTTGCTTTAACGGATCCTATCCTATAAGCGAGAAAAGTATGTTTGTTTTCTGTGCAGCCGATTTCTCGGCCGTCAGGCCGAATTTCGCGCTGATTTTTGGCATGGAGGTGGAGAAACACATCCTCTTTATAAGCATTTTTTGGTTTTTCGAAATTCCTTCATTTAACGATTTTACAAGCGAAATAGTGAAAAACCCTTAACATTTTGGTCAAAAAAAGGTTTGTACAGAAGATATCTCGCGATCCAAATGGAATTGGGCGCTAATTTTTGGAGGGTAGATTGAGAATTGAATTCTCCCGATATATAATTCTGCGTTTTGTCAGATTTTGTAAAATGAAGTTTTTATGAGCATTTTTATAAAAAGTCCTTAATAAAGTGGGCCACGAGCCGTGGTGTCCGGGCCATATCTCAGAGCCCAGATGGAATTTCGGTCTGTAATTTGGACCAATTATGTATTCGATGGTGGGGATCACGCGCATCTTATTATCTTTGCAAATTTTCAGCTGATTCAGACTATAAACCGAATTTTGTAAAGTGACCAGTAGGCTTCCCTCCGGGGATCATTGGGTTGCCCTTTTCTTTGCCTTCCCCGCCCCCTTTCCCCAGAACAGAAGAGGGCTTTCCCGCCGCCTCTTCCCATCTGTCGGATGGTGTAGTGGATTTGCGCCCGGTCTACCATGCGCATGGTCGTGAGTTCGGATCCTGGGAGAATTTAATTTTTTGCTTTTTGGTAGTTCAGTAACAAAAATATTTCTAGGCTCTGGGTGCGCGAGATTTAGGCCTGGCTCTCGCTCTAGCGCCGCAGGCCAAAGAAAAGGTCCTTGGTTCAGGCTCTTGCGCCGCAGGCCACGGATGGGTTTTTGAGCTAGGCTCTTGCGCCGCAGGCCAAATCTGGGAGAAAAACCAGTAACTAGCACTGCAGGTAATAAGATTCTAGCGCGTTTAGGCCTGGATCTCGCTCTAGCGCCGCATGCCAAAGAAAAGGTGCTTGGCCTAGACCCTCGCGCCTCAGGCCAAATCCTCGAGAAAAACCAGTAACTAGCGCTGCAGGCAAAAAGATTCTAGCGCGAGGTTTAGGCCTGGCTCTCGCTTTAGCGCCGCAGGCGAACGAAAAGGTCCTTGGACCAGGCTCTGGCGCCGCAGGCCAAAGAATGGCTCCTTGACTCACATTCTTGCGCTGCAGGCTAAAAAAAGAAAGTATTCGAATTCATCGTTCCTGGACGGGGTCCAGTGGAAAAGGGCCGCGAAGCGGGCTTTTTCCACTGGTATCGTAATAAGGAAAAACAGAGCGGTGGATTATAGAGGCCTCACTTTCCCACAATCCGCATTTCATCGATCTGCCACTGTGGTTCACCAGTCCTTTGTTTATCCGACAACACGATCCAGCATCGTCAACACGAATCACTCTCGTATTTTTCACGCCCTTTCCAATACATCATTCCGTCACGATTACGGCGCCCAAGATCATTGCCGCAAGACCGTGGCGTGTACGCGTCGCTGCCCTGGATAATCCGGGGGCGTCGGTGGTCAGCTATCCGCAGGGGTTGCTTTATAAAACGAGGGCTCTCGGCTCGGGTCTGGCTTCTTTGTTGTAGAACTCCTGCGGATTTTATCATTTTGACTTGGATTTAATACATCCATTTTTCGGCCAAAACTGAACGATTTTCGAAAAATTCTTGTGACGTTACGTTTTTCTAGTTTTCTCAAGGGCTTTTTCCAATTGAAAAAATAGCTCAATGATCCTAAGAAGACTTGTAAAAATGATTTTCATACACATTTTCGAAAATCAGATTTCTGAAAAAAACATATTCCCGAATACCCCTACTTCCAAAAATAATAGTTCCTAAAAACATATTTTTACACAAATTTAGTAATAGTAAGTTGATTTGTATTGAAACGCCTAACGAGTGGAGCAAGATGTCACTCTCCAAGGCGCTCACGCCTCACATTATGGTCTCGCGACGAAAACTGTCAGCTGCCCTGTCATCTGCTGCTCCCCGTTGTGATGTGTTGTTGCATCGGGGGGAGACTATTTGCTGAGTCTATCATTTCGGTCCAGATCGCTATCGCATCGCTCCACACATCCCCCACCAATCGCGCCTACGAGCCCATACCTACAAACATTCGCACTAACTAGACATTTCACTATGCGCGCTTTCATTTTCGATGAAATTCAACGCATTTTTATGGGCTCTAGAATGTTGGCGGGGTGGGGGGTCAAATTTTTATTGTCTGGAAATGCTTAGTAACTTAAAAGGAGGTATTTTTATGACGTTTTTAACGAATAAAACTATATTTAACGCGAAGAATCATTTAAAACTTTGAAACATTGGAAATTTTGGTCAAAAAACGGCCATATTTGCTCTTTAAATCTATATATTTTTGCATCTTTAAATCGAATGTTGTAAAGGTTTTGCGCTTTTGAATAGTAAAATAGTTGAGACACATTTTCGCCACTTATATTTGAAAAGTTGGAACCCAAGAAAACATTTTTGTGCCCCCCCCCCCGATAATGCGTAAGAACAAGCCAATAGTAACGGAATTTTCTAGAAGATTTTGAGGCATTTTAGTATTTTTCGAGAGATTAAATGAAGTTTAGTTGTTTCCTTTCTTTTCTTAAACCTTCGCGATCTGGAAATGTGACTCATAAATTATTTTTTACGATGCCAATCTATTTTTATTTTTTAACTAAATAAACAGCCTTTTTCGTTAATTGTCCCGCTGAAAGCGAAAACATTTTCCACTTTCCTCAAGTATTTCTACCATTAAACCCCGATTGTCCTCCCCAGGACATCATCTATTTTTTACCACCCAACTCTGGAATTCACGTGCTCGGGGCGATCCCGGCCGGAGCGCGCGAATTTTTCGTGGATGCTCGTCAAATTTGCTCAATTTCCTAATCCACAAACAAGTCTGCTCGCCCCGGCTTTTCCCCCCCCCACCCACCCATTTCTCAGCACGGCTCTTCCTCGTTCGTCGTTTTCTTGCTTATTTAAACAAAAAACAGGATTGTTAGAAAATTTTTCCTTGCGATTTTTGATGGTTGTGGTCGTAGACTTTTTAGCATTAGTCCCTTTTTGCAATCGATTGGATTTATCTATTCTTTTCCGATTCATTTTTCTCATTATTTTCTCATTATTTCTCTATTATTTACAACTTGCAAGGTTTAGAAACATGGACAACGACGCGCAAAAGCCGAAGCCCTACAAGCGGGCCACCGAGCAACGGTAGGTTTTGAAATCTTGTCCATTTAACCAATATACCAGGGTTGAAAAACCGCTTCGCGGCTTTTCAACCCTGGCACCGTCTAGGACCGATGAAAGTCTTCAATTTGCATGCTTCTTCCCCGAAATTTATCAGAAAAAAAGTGAAAAACGGCTACTCTGTCGCTTTATATAGGCTGTCCCACTTCCGGCTTATGCTAATTGATCCCTAACAAAGAGGGTGGGCGAAAATTTTACAAAAATTTGTTTTTAATAGCGAAAATAGCAATTTTTCAAAGATTTTATGTGCGTGCAGTCGATTCCGGACCCTTCTTTACCTAATGACGTTTCTACCCAATCGAAAAAATTCTTCCCTGAGGCTGTAGGTGCGGAACATCCTCACGGAAGTTGCATGCAAATGCACACACACACACAGACACTATTTTTTTATATATAGTAGGATAACGGTAACAACATATCTGCAAGAGCTTGAAGTATGTTAATGAAAGTGTTAATAAGGTATTTTAAGGCTAAAACGCTTTATCTGTAAGGTAACTAGCGCAACAAAACTTTTCATTACTTTACCTTTTGCCGCAGCGCCTCACCTGAAATCTTTTTTCTCGGAAACGTTCCCGGGTTTGCCCGTCTGAAACCTGAAAACCCGGGGGTTTACAAGGCGCACCGCCTCCTGATAAGGCGAAATGGGTGAGGGAGGCGGAGCTGCTGGGCGGGACGACCTGAAGAAGGTCCTTTCCGGGGAAAGTGCGAATTCGAACAGCACCCGCATTCCGCATTTCACACTTTGCTCCCGTCCCTAAGATATTTGGGCCTTGACTATTCATTATGGACCAACCACACGATGAGATTTCCCATCACAAACGTGCCCCAGAGCAACGGTATGTGGGTGCATGAAATTCGCTAAATTAGTCGATTTTCGCTCGGAATTTGCGATGTCATCGAGCTCATTTATTCTGAAGAAATTTAATCTCTTGAAAAACCGCTGAACGATGCTGTTCGAGAAAATTGGCTCTGAAGGGATCGTTTTTGCCCTTTTCTTAAACGCGCCTAAAAACAAACGTTTGGAAACCTTTTATGCAAGGGTTTTAACGTAAATTAATTTTTTTAAAGATGGGCTTTGCTTGGAATTTCAAGCTCTATCAAATAAGTTACGTCAAGTTATCACTTACAAAGAACCTTCATAAGAAAAGATAAAAAAGAATCAATCCTTCTTCTTTTCAGCGTCTTTGTCAACCGGAGTCTCCGTCTCGAAAAAATCAAATTCTTCGGGTTTGACATGGACTATACGCTGGCCGGTTTGTCGGGAGCGTTCGATCAGTCGAATAATTCTTTTTAGAGTACAAATCCCCGCAAATGGAGATCCTGGCCTTCGAGATGACGCTGGAGAAGCTGACCAAAGTCGGCTACCCCAAGGATATTCTAAACTTCAAGTACGATCCAATCTTTCCCGTCCGAGGGCTGTGGTTCGATTATTTGTATGGGAACTTGTTAAAGGTATGTTGGAATCTGAAGAGTTCTGAAGTTTTTTAGGTCGACGGTTTTGGCAGCATTCTAATGGGCATGCACGGGCTGAGGTTTTTGAAGACGTGGGTTTTTTACTGACGAAATTTGCGATTTTCAAGATGTAACTAAAATTTTTAGCGTTTAACAGTGCCTTTTTCTCTCTATCCTTTAGTTTTTGATTACTCAAAAGCTAGAAAGGCCCGTGTAGACAATTGAAATCGGAAATATGGATCGGTTCCATACGTTCTGACGAAAGAATCAACGATTTTGAATTTCGAACACCTCACTCGCTAACCCCCCCCCCCCGCTAATCACTCAGTACTGTCCCAGGTTCTCCCCTCAAAAAGATCCGATCCCACGGCCTTTCCAGGACATTGCCCCGGCTTGCATCGCAAACAGCCGGGCTCCCCTAAAAAGCCCCCCCGAACATCGCACACTTTTATTGACGGCCGATATGGCATGATTTACGACCCACCTGTCACTCTCAAATATATTTGCTTTTTGGTTGTGCGCATCAGTAGAGGGAAAAGGGTCAAAAATGTGCAGTGGTCGAGCAGGGGGAAGATTGACGCGATTTGGCCGGGCTGTCAGAATTTTGGCCTCAAGGAGAAAACTGCAGCCCAGGTAAAAGCGACAAAGAACAAGTTCAAAATACTGATGAAATGAACCATTTTGCCATTTGAAACTTGACCCAAAGTTGTTTTAAAAATAACTGCTGATCGCTTCAGAAAGTAGCGCAAATCTCGAAATTGGTATGGTATGATTAGTATGATTTTCAGACAAGAAATCGAAGAACTCTACCCGAACAAATTCATCCAGCTGTCCGAGTCGCGCATCTTCGTCCTCAACACCCTCTTCAATCTGCCCGAGACCCATTTGATCGCCCAGCTGATCGACTACTTTGACAAGCACGCCGACTTCAAGCAGTAAGTTTGGTCAATGAGTTTTCAACTCTGCCAGACGCCTGTAAATGTCTCCTCTTCCTAGCCCCCAAAATGTCTACAGCCGAGCTTCACCCAGCCTGATTCGGTCGTCTAGCTTTTTTGGCTGCTTCTTTATCAGGCCATGTTCCGTGTGTGTCCCATCTCTAAAAACTGACCTCCCTAGCCGGGGTGGTCTGGTTTCAGCTCTTTTTTGCTGTGCCGCGGTGATAAAGCCCTGTGGCTGCAATAAAGAACGTATGAAAAAACTTTACTGGATGCCCTAACCACGTTTTACTGTGGACGGGGTACTGCAGTATGGTTCGGGGGGTTTCGTTAAAGTTTCATGGATTTTCCAAAATTAACTAGATCCGGTTTCTCAATGGCTAACCTTGACTTTGAAAACCTGACTAACAAGGAGACGTTTTTTAGTGTGGTGGTAAATGGTCTTCCTCGTGCCCTTTAAAATGCACCAAAATTGATGATGAAATCTGTAGTTCCGTCCTGTTAGTGGAATCATCATCAACTCGAGACTCCCGGGAGCGCCCGCCAAAAAATTGACTAATCGGGCGTAAAAAGTGTTCAAGAAATCGACGACTGTCAAGGTCGTCGGGTGCTTTTTCGCAACATTATTTTTGGGCGATAGCCTGGAGGCTCGGGGGAGAAATGCAAATATCCTAGAGATCAGAAATCAAGAGCGCATATTAGCGCGACCACGTGATGATAAAGGCGATTTGGATGTGAGCCAAATCTGGCGTTATTAGCTGGACTGCTAGGCGTTTAGGGAAACCGGAAGTTTAAAAGATTTGCTGAAATGGGTAGACAACCTGGGTTCTTTCGCGTTATCGAGGGGGGGGGGGCAAATATTTTTTCTTGGGAATAGATTTTTTTAAATATAAGTAGTGGAACGGTTTCTAACTGGTTTTTACTATGCCTAAACCCAAAAACTTTCCAAACCCTTTTATTTCACTAAAACAGTATTAAAACTGCCCGGATGCTTCCTGTTAAGTTGCTAGACATTACGAGCCTTATAGAAAATTTAGTTGCCCCGCCACCGATAATGCAAGAAAACCACAACCCCAAACGCGAAATATTTTAGGAATGCGGAAAAAACGGGTATCCGTGGCGGGGAGATGATGATGTCGTACAAATCTATCTTCCAAGACCTCCGAAACGCTGTGGATTGGGTCCACATGAATGTAAATCTTTTAAGGAAATCGTCGTGGGAAATTCAATAATTTTTCAGTCAGCCATGAAGCGCACAATCATGGACGATCTGGAGAAGTACGTGAAGAAGGACGCCCGTCTGCCCCAAATGTTGAAGGGAATGCGGGACAGCGGACGCAAGACGTTCTTGCTGACAAATTCCGACTACGAGTACACCAATGTACGTTATAAACGGGATACAGTACCTGCTTGCTATTCCGTTTCAGGCGGTGATGACGTACTTGCTCGGCGCGGAGTGGACGTCCTTTTTCAATCTGAACATTGTAGACGCCAGAAAGCCCAATTTCTTTGCTGAGGGCACAACTTTCAGAGAGGTACGCTTTACGGATTCGAACACCGCTCCCTAGCTCGCTTTTCTACCGTTCTATCACTTATGGGCTACGGAACAGGGGGGAGCGCTTTCTTCCGCTTCCTTGTCACGTTTTCGTTCGAAAACTTGCTATTCCTGAGCACCTGTTGACTTTCAGGTAGACCCCGAAACCGGCGCTCTCAAGTTGGGCAGCAACACCGGACCCCTGAAGGAGGGTGTCATCTATTCTGGCGGCAGCTGCGAGGCGTTCAGAAAAATGGTCAAGGCCCGAGGAAAGGATGTTCTCTACGTCGGGGACCACATTTTTGGCGATGTTTTGAGGTTAGCAGAAATATAAGTAATCGTAGAATGAGACTGACGTTATTTTTATCCAATGCAATTTAGGTCCAAGAAGACGAGAGGCTGGCGCACATTCTTGATCGTCCCCGAGCTCGACCAGGAGCTGTCAGTCTGGACTGAGAGGTGAGGCAATTGGAAGTAGTACAGTTGCGTACCTAAAGTTAGTCTGGCTCTAATAATCGTTCACTTTTCTTCAGGCGACCGCTCTTCGAAGAGCTCGGCGGTCTCGACAACCAGCTCGCCGACATCTACAAGAATTTGGACGCATCCGCGACGGATAAGCCCGAGATTCACTCGGTCCTCCAGAGCATCAGGGTAAGCCTCAACCAAAACCTAACCCAGCTGAAGCTCAATCAAAATCCCAGGCAAAAATCTCTGAATTCCAGAAAATCTGCCACGAGATGGACCAAGAGTACGGTGTGCTGGGCTCGTTGTTCCGCTCCGGTTCGAGAACGACGTTCTTTGCGTCGCAAGTGATGAGGTAAGCAAAAAAATAAAAATGATAAAACTACAATGAAAATAAAGAATAACTGATAAAAACCCAAATTTTCTTGTAGCCGTTCATCAAAAAATCAACAACTTTTTCAAGGTATGCCGACATCTACGCGAGCACGTGCCTAAACCTCGTGCACTACCCGAATTTCTACTTCTTCCGCGCGCCAATGCAGGTTTCGAAAATAGCGTTTTCAATTTTATTTCATTCTTTTTAGTTGATGCCCCACGAATCGACCGTTGACCACGCATCTGTGTTGAAGACAGAGAAAGCCGAAAAGTTCCGGCGCCAGGATTCGATTGGGCACCAAGGTTCGTGGGGCTTATAAACACTGCCAGGTGGTCAGGAGCGCCTTGGCTTCAAATGGAAAGCAGAAATAACTGTTCTTAAATTTCGCATGTAAAAATTGTGAAAAGTTGATGCTGAATTTTTTAGTACGCGGCTGGTCAAAGAAGACGGCCACCGAGAACGAGTTTTTCCCGGAGGAGGAGGAGGAAGACGTCAGCAACGAGAGCTCCGATATCGATGAATTGGTAGGTAGCGAAACTACTGGATTAATGATTTCGAGAGTTTGCAAAAGAAATAGTGTGAAAAATATAAGCAAGGCCTCGATACACTGTGTGTTTTTAGCATTCTGCACGACGTGGCAGCCAAAAGTCACCATCAGCTGATGTTGAGAATAATGTAAGTATCAAAGTACCTCTAGGTACACGAAAATATCTATACCTTCGTTCTTGATAATACAGCGTAACATATAAACAGTCAACAAACCTTAATTCAGGTTTGCGACACGGACGTCGTCTCGATGCCGCCAGCCCAAGTCGACCGCGACCACCTCGTTCGCCAGTCCAGCGATTAAAGCAGCGGGGCATTTTCATGCAATTTCCAATAAATATAATATTATCGAAATGCTTTTTCGCACCGACACTCCCCTTCTCACGTTTCCGGGGGCGACGATGCATGATTTATGGGGGGCGAGGCAGAATATGGAAACTGAGTCACCGGAAACATATGTTCAGCAAGGCTAAGGAAAAGGGTAATTGGCAAGTGGAAAATAACAGCAGATAAAAATATGTTTTAAAGGCTTATCTTATAGACCTAGAAAATTGTAATAGTGTATTTCTTTTTTCGGTTTAAGTTTAGGCTTAGGCTTAGGCTTAAGCTGAAACGTAGGCTTAAGCTCAGGCTTAGGATTAGGTTAGTCTTATGCTTAGGCTGAGGCGTAGGCTTAGGCTAAGGCTTAGATTAGGCTCAGGTCTAGGTTAAGTTTAGCTTTATCGGAATCTCCACTTCGCCTACATGCCTTTGCTTTCATTAGGCTTAGGCCGAGGTATGTGTACTGAAGAAATATGACGATTACTAAAATTAATTTTAAATAATTGAAAGAACTTCAATCCGCCAATGTCCAAACATCTCACCACGAATTGTTGACGCGATTGCAGAAGCTTGCCAAAAGCTCTGGCACCTTTTCATTTGCGCTTCCCCAGTCTTTCCATACCAAAACCACCACCTTTGCACCGCCAAAAGGTAAATGGCGTTGCTTTCCCAACCGCCCATCACCACCCATCCATCGGCCTCAACCAGGTCGAGCCACGACAGCTCCTCCTCTGCCCCCAGGATCTCAGCCCAGGACGCCCAATTACCTCTTCATTTTCCATTTTTCTGGGTTCTAGCGGGACATAAATCATATGTGCAAGGGGGGTCCATGGGCCCTGGGGCTCTAGCTAGGGGTCCCCGGGACGGCCAGGGGGGGCGGTCCCCCCTGGGGACTCCTACTTGTCAGTTGAAGGCAACGAGAAAAAGGGCGGAAAAGCGGGAAGGGGGGAGGACGAAGAAGAGGAAAAACTTCCATCAACAAGCCCCTCCCACGTGTGCTACTCGAGCCGCCCAAGCCTTACTACATGCGCTGTCCCCATGCTCCGGAAAATGTTTGGCACGTTTTGTATGCGTTAGACGATTTTTTGCGCCTTTTAAGTGGCGTGCGGCTTTTCCCAGAAGGGCATGTCATTGATTCGAGAAAGAAGGCGCAATAGCCGATTGCCCGGGGTTTACAAAATTTTAAAGGGGATGTGACGGCATTTCTGGTCGACCTGGATCGACTTGACCTGGAATTGGACCGAGGCGAAGACGATCAAAATTAAAATTCTGACCTCATTTTCGGTATTTTAATTGCTTTTTCTCTTGCAAATTAGTCCTAAATACCCGGAATTTGGGATGAAATTTGTCTAGATCGGGGGAATGCGTACCAAAAAAACGGGGACGATCGATGGAATGCCTACAAAAAGCTGTTTTCCTCCTCACAACTTTTGCTTTTTTTTCAAGTTTCGTGAAATCTCTTTCTCTAAACAAATCTTCTGATGTTTTGCCAGATTTTCAGATTTATTTCGAAGATTTTAAGCATAGGTCCAATTCCCGCGAATGCGAATTTCGACTACCAGCCGCTTTAAAAGCAAGCTTATAATTCTTTCTCCGATTGCCTAGCCTATTCCTGAGCTTATTGTCCTCAAAAACGGCTAGAACATTTTTTCGCAATTTTTGTTGGTGACTAGTTTCGTTTAAAGCGGGCGTGCCAACAGCAGCCACCTCGCCTCGATCTCCTCGGTCCCCAGGGGGGACCCCAATTTCTGATACGTACCCCGCGACTACATCTCTCCAATGTCCCCACACTGCCTCCTTCCACATGCTCGCAACATTTCCTTGTCTGTGCATTTCGATTTTTGATCCCAGCCTCCTTTTCGTTGAGTGTATGGGGCTTGCACTTTTCTGTTGTCTAAAGGGTTATCCTATTGATGCGCCCGGCGCTTCATCCTCTTTGAAGTTGAGATGTGAGCAGAAAGCTTTATCTGACTCTAAGCCCAAGCACAAGCTTAACCAAGACCTAAGCATGATCCCAACAACTAATTTCGCTAAAAGTCCTTATATTACTATCTTCACAATTTTCAAACGTTGAGAAACTGTTTACATCCATTTTTTCAGATTAACAGCCAGTCCACCAAGGTTCAGCCTAAAATTCTGTTAAAGTTACGTATATTTTTATTTACTCTTAACCATGAACGGTGGTCAACCGGTGGGGACGATAGAGGATCAGCTTCGACATGTTGATCGGATAATCAAGGTGAGCTTTTGGAATCATTTTTTGGCTTGGCAAATGCCTATACCCGCTCCTTCATTCCTCTACCTTCATTTACACGTTTTCTTTCACCTTTCCTAACGGACCTCGCGCTACAAGCGGGACCTGAACCCACGTCTCAATCCAGTTCGGGCCGTGTGACTGCCCGGCTTCTCCAAAATGCGTGCCCCCAGGCTATATGTCGGGCGTGGGCCACGTAACGAGATATCCGATATCCACTCGACGAAATTCGTGCTTCATCGCCCTTCTTCTCCGCATCCGGTTCCGCTAGAGTACATTTGCACACCCGCTTTTTATGGATTTCCTTCCCAATCTCGGCCAAAACCAATTTTGATTCTTTGCCACGGGCCCCAGGCCTCCCTCGCCCAATTTTCCGCAATCCAAGGAGCGCCGGGCCCAGTTTTTGGGGGAGGGAAATGTGCGAAAATCAGACATTGAAAACTGCGAATGCTAAAACATCGACAGAAAATGCCGATAGGATAAGCAGACAGAATATCGCGGAGAGCTTACAGCTCATTAGGATGTTATCAGGGTGATATTCATAGGCATATAGGAGTTTTACAAATTCATTGTCAGCATTTTTCCAGTGTCTGCGTTTCATCCTGTTGAAGCGGTATTTTAGTATACTTTACACGCCGGTAGCATATCGGGAAGCCGAGATATGATAGGCAAGGCCTGCAGGCGAGAGGGATATTTGGAGACCTGTGGTGGAGTTGTTGCACACCTTTCGCCAAACTTTTCGCAAATCGAAATTTCATGGAAAGCCGCGTGGGGTTTTTTAAGGGCTACGGAATATGAATATTCGGCGCCCCGATTCCACTCGTCCACCACCCTTCCCCCCAGCCCACACGGCCCTCTGGGCAAACAAATCGCAAAATGGGTTTGGGCGACGAGGGCCCCCATGGGCCCTATGCGGGCCCCACCCGAAAATGGGGCGAGAAAACTTGCTCACCTCGCCCGAATCCTTGGTTATCCAAATGCGATTTGGGCTCGCCCAAGTGTTCCCCCTCCCGCGCCGGGCGCCCTCGCGTTTTTCCACGTTGATGAGGGCCGGTGTGAAAAGCGTTGCGCGATTTGCTGATGGGGCCCTAGACATGCGGGCGGGGGAAACAAATGCTTGAAGGGCTTGAGGTTTCGCGGGATTTTCAGTTTTTTTAGGAAAACAAGCTTCATGATGACACTCGTGAAGATTGAGCCTGGCTGAAGCCTTAACTAAAGCCCATGGATCCACCTAAGCCTAAGCTCAGGCTTCGGCATACTCTGGACCTAAACGTAAGCCAAAGATGAAGCCTAAGCTATAAACATTAGCCTATTCTTAACGACCTTGAAATTTTTTATCAACCCATGCGAACGATATAGCCTACTCTCCAAACAACTAGTGCTCATCGACCAGTTCATGCTCAACTTTTCCCCCAGGCGACCTTTCGACGATTTGCCATATCAGCTGCCGTGGCCCCGGCTAGGTCCTGGGGGGGGACCACGGGGGCCGACCTCTCGGGTTTCAGCAGACCCAAGGGAAGTGAAATGTTCTAAATTCGGGGTCGGGGGTGAAGGCACTTTGCTGGGGGACCAATTTTTAAGCCGGTCTCTGCCAGTCACCTGGAAAACCAACGACCAGAACATCTGGTTGCTGGGGGTATCGGACGGTAGACGTCTCGGTCATATTTTAAAAGAGCTAGATATGACCACGAATCAATAGGTCTGAAACTCGGCCTGAAACGAAGCCTAGCCGCCGACTCGCGGCACATCTGGCCCACTAGGATGGCATAAGGTTGCTAGCAAAGAATCCGTGACTGGCGCATCAAGCCTAAGCCTAAGCCTAAGCCTAAGCCTAAGCCTAAGCCTAAGCCTAAGCCTAAGCCTAAGCCTAAAAGCCTAAGCCTAAGCCTAAGCCTAAGCCTAAGCCTAAGCCTAAGCCTAAGCCTAAGCCTAAGCCTAAGCCTAAGCCTAAGCCTAAGCCTAAGCCTAAGCCTAAGCCTAACATGTAGAGGTTGTGAGGTCACAGACTCCAAATCGGCTCAAAATTGGTGGAACAATCAAATAAAATACGGGGAAAACGATGTGATAAAAATTATCTGCCAATGGGCACTTTTGTTTAATAAACTTTTCATTTTAATGGAAAAAGTGCTCCTAAAATGCACCTTTAGCCGCTTTATCGTGCCTTACGGCTTGGAAAAAATGTTTTGATGGAATTTTCATAGCAGCCATGACACTAGACACCTTTTCACACACGAAAAAAATTAATCTGAAAAAAATTTTTTTCATGAAAAATTTGACGACCTATCCTATGGCCCCGGATCCTGGCAGAATTGGAAACTGCTTAAAATAGGTGGTTCTGGCTCCTAGGCGCTTCAAATCTGAGCACCGAGATATTTCAGATTGCCGGAATAATTCTATTTTTACAATTCCGGTTCGAAAATAATTATTATTAACTATTCAGTTGGTTTTCATCGAGCCGGAATAGCTAGGTAGACCTTTTTTACAAAACCTTCCAAGTTTTCGAAATTTTATTTTTCTGCCTAGGCAACTTCTAGGGATTCATAGGACCGAAAAACTTTCGAAAACACTTTCTAGGCCCTCTCTCGGCAGAATAAAAGCGAAAACAGCAAAAAGCAAAAATTAAAAATATTGACGAGGTCCGAACCCTCGACCCCCTGGCCTGTCGCCCCTGCACCTTACCACTACACCACCAATCCGACGGGAGGTGGCGCTTGGGAAGACTCCAAGAGTTCTCCGATGCGCCTAACCGTTTTGGCCACCCAGGTCGCGATTCTAGGTAGCTTTCCATACAAAATCTTAAAATGAAAAGTTTATTAAACAAAAGTGCCCATTGGCAGATAATTTTTATCACATCCTGTTCCCCGTATTTTATTTGATTTTTCCACCAATTTTGAGCCGATTTGGAGTCTGTGACCTCACAACCTCTACATGTTAGGCTTAGGCTTAGGCTTAGGGGCCTAAGCCTAAGAGCCTAAGCCTGGACCCAAGTAAAGTGGTCGGGGACCACCGCTAAGCCTAAGCCTAAGCTGAACTATCTTTACGTATCGCTTAATAACAGCATAAATCATCCCTACAGCCCCAATCTGCATCAAATAACTCCCAAATTCACATCCCGCACTCTGTTCATCCCTATCCGCCCACAGCAGACCTGTTTTCCAGGCGGTTGAAGGAAAACAGCGTCTGCCGATATGCTTTCTCCGGGCCCGCGGCCCACTCAGGAATACCAAAGAGCATTCGGACAAAACTAATTACCCATCGTGCTGCTTCTCCCCGCACGAGCAACCATGGGGTAGGAGAGGGTACTCGCTTCTCGGAAACATCCCCCCAAGTCGATGGGGAGAGGAGAAACGTTAGCTTTTCGGGATGCAAGGGTTTTGGGGGGTCGCGAGGTACTAAGAGGGTTCCAGTGACATTTTTGATCTTTAAGGTAGTTTGAAGTGGTCATAGTCACATAAAAATTCATGTAGCCCGAAAATTCGGGGTTCAGTGATCGCGCGGCTTCAGGTACCTGGAAACCTGTCCCGCTTGTTGTGCCGGAAAAGGTGTGCGCAGCAATTTGCCAACGGCCACTCCGACCGAAAGCAACACCCATAAAATCGCGATTACATTTGTTGCATACTTCATCGGAGGGCTAGCTGCTAACGTTATCAAATTCGCACACCACACAGTTCTGAAGGTATAGGCAACATACTTGGAGAGACCTTCCGCTTCCAAACCCAACTAGATATTAAACTTTTTGCCTGCCCACTTCCTCTCTTCCCTCCGGCTATTCCTATCGAATTTGCCGACCAAGGAGGGCATTTAAGTCGAGGGGCGCGAAAGGAGAATGAAGGGGACCCCGTGCTCGGGCACGACAATTGACTTTCGGGTGGCCGAGGGGGAAATGGAGGAAAAGACAGAAGGTCCATCCGTTTTCCTGAAAATACCTGACCTCTAAGACGCCGCATGGGGGCTTGGCGTGCACTTTTAGAGAGTGAGGGAGAGAGAGTGAGAGAGACAGGGAGAGAAAGAGATGGAGATGAAGAGTGCCGAGCTTAGACTTCAACTCTTTTTCGAGCACTTTCTGACACCATTCCTTGAAAAATTTGATAGACTTTTTCTCGGTTTCAAGTCACAACGATTCCTCCCGTCATTCTGCTGTCAACTTCCGTCTCACTCCCAAAAAAAGCAAAGAAGAAGAAAGATCAGTGGCCGTCGAGGGGGTCGACGTGGTAGAAAAGAAGCGGAGAGGGCCCCTCCGATTGCCCCTAGGGGATCTCCTCCTCAATGCCAAGTCGAGAATCACGGGCCCTCCGGGGGGTGATCGACTGCGGCAAAGGACCCAACAAGGGCCCAAGAGGGTCCCTTCCACCCGTTGTTCTCCCTTACTGCGGGGGTTCTCCACACGAAAATAACGAAACTCGAGATATTTGAAAAGCTAGGCTGGGTTTTGGGGTTGAAGGTTGAGGAGATGAAGGGGTAGAAATTTTTCTAATCGCTGTTGTTGCTTGAGCCACTCAAAACATAGTGGTGAAACCCATAAGAACACCATAGCTCGAGTTCAGCCCAAGCTTAAGCCCTTCCATAATCCGAAGCCTAAGCCAAAGCCTAAGTCCAAGCATAGGCCTAAGCCTACGGCGCGAAAGCGCGTTCAACAGGTAGTCGGTTTTGAGTGACATCCACATTTTCAGCAAGACCAAGCCCATCTTGTGGATATTTTTACCTGATACTGCATCTATTTTTCAAATTTCCTTAATGCACATTTTCAAGAAGATACAGTGTATTTAGGGTAAAAATCCTCAAGTTTTTTTTAAAATCTTTTTCCTGAGGCTTATGGTAACTGGCATAGTCTTTCGCAAGCTTGATCGAACTTTCGAAAAACCGTGGAAATCAAACCGGATGTCCACTTTTCTGCCTCCAGAGAAAGCAACATCCCTGTTTTCTCCTCTCGAAACCCTGACGGCTGTTTGGAATTCAAGCCGCTGCAGCCCCGGGATGCGCTTTGAAGATTCCGGCCAACTCTCCCGTCCTTCTTATTCCCTTTTTTTCTCCACCCTCTCCCTTCTCCATCCCATCAACTAAGCTTCCCCGTCAAAAAAGGGTTTCCCGCCACGGGGCTTTGAGCTTATGCCATCCGGAGGAAGGTCTTATGATCAAGCCTGAGTGATGGCTGCATTTTGAATCGAGGAGTTTTGCCTCAGCCTAGATACCTTTAGAACGGCTGTTGGTCTCAGAAAATGAGGAGAGCCGAAAAACATGCCATACATTTAGGAGTGCGACCAATCGCGGAAATGCCTCGAGTCTGTGAGCAGAAGACTGGATGATCTACATGATGTACGTTTTTTTTCAGGGTTTAAGAAAAAGCGATGGTCGTGACGAGTTAAGCTTCGCATTTTCCGGAATCCTAAAATACCGGAAACAAAGCTGGCTTTGCTAAGAATCGCTAGGAAACCATTTACGCTATGTAAAATCGTAGATTAGTATCGATTTAGTTGATTACGAAATCTAAAATCGTCAATAAATACCAATGTAACCAGTTACGCTACCTAAAGTCAGTAAGTAGAGATCTGGCTGGTGATGCTATCAAAAATAACCAATGAGTACCAATTTAACCGACTGGGCTATCTAAAACCGTTTGAAATTGGTGGGTTAACTAAACAAAAACTAAAATCGGTCACGCTATTTCAAAACGTCTCAGATTAAAGATTAACCGATTACGCTATCTAAACTCATCAGATAGTTAGCATGCGACCGTTTCGTTTTCTAAAATGAACTAGAAGTACCGATTTAACCGCTTACCCGATCTAAAATCGTAAAACACTACCGGTTTAACCGATCACGCTATCTAAAATCACTTTGAAGGACCGTTTTGACGTCAGATCTATACGGCGGCATCTTTTAGGAAGTAAAGCGCTACCGAGACTTCCTTGGTCACGAAAAAGCCCGACGAGACCCAGCACTCTACAAAACGAGCAACTGCGAGCGCCCCTCGGCCTATAACGTGGCCATTTGTGATACGATGGGCAATCTGACCGCTCAATTAGCACAGGTAATCTACAAAATACCCATTGTCAATTCAAACGCGCGAGATCCACCTTTTAATAAATTCCTAGCGTGAAAAAACACATTTTTAGGAATGGAGCGAGAAGCTGCGTGCTATTCACTCACTACTCTCATCGCCGACCCCCTCGACGCCCGGCTCACGGGCATCGGATCGCAATTAGCGCCAATCTTGCCGACCAAATTACTTCCGGCTGGCCACGCGAGTAGCTGACTGAACAATGTAAGGCAAAAAGCGATTAAGGCAGGACCTTGAATAAAATTAGAATCTGCAGGGAGCCGGCCAGGGAATTATCGAAAATTTTGTATAGAATGTCGGCTTTGAAGGATGGCAGTCAAAGGTCTTTGGCGAAGAATTCCTATGGCTTTCGATCGTGACACGACACGCTACGCGTGAGGCGCTTGGCGCGTCGCGTATACTTGGTGTAGCGGCTAAATCCATAACAAAAAGGACTTGCTTTCAAAACCTCGAGACTCATAAGGGCGAATTTTATAATGCCGAAATTATATAATACCGAAATCGCGACTCATTGTCATTTTTTCCATAACTTTCGCGATTTTGCAAGAGATTTTTCATGATAAGCGTTGAAATCATGAAATTTAGCCTTTTCGAAACCCCAATTTCCAAATAACTACATTTCGAAAGTATGAATTAAGGAATTTTGATAGCAGGTCCAAAAAGTTGATAGTCTTGCTTTGCATTAAAAATCCTAAAAAGTTTAAGGAAAACGAACAAAATCTTTTGCGGTCATTTCCCTGGCCGGCGCCAATTGTCTAGCTTCCCCCTTTCGATGTGGTTGTCAAGAACTTCAGAAGCGGGTTTGGGCCCTGCGATCTGTACATTTGCCCGATTTTCAAATTCTGGATTCTCCTCCTCCTCCTCCTTCCCTGTGCCAATAACGTGTTTCCGAGCCGTTTCACATATTTATGCCAGTGTGTAAAGATTGCCACCCTAATGATTTGCCGTTGTGAACACTATCGATGCTTCCTTTTTCTTAATTTACATTGTATTTTTTGTGTTCATTTGGGCCGGCTGCCCGCCAATTTCTAACCGCAAGCGGCAGCCCACTCGGGTCGAACTGTCTTCAGAACAAAAAAAAAGAGGAATACTTTTCCCCACCATGACTTGTATTTTTCCTGGAGAGTTGCTGCTTTTAATAAATGAATTTTAGTTATTATTCTGTTCGCAGTAATTATACAAACGCACATAATAGGACCCCAGCACATCACATAGTGTAATTGTTGCGCTCGTATTAATTTAAATGTCAACTATAAACCCGACAGGCAAAAATGCCGACAGCCAAGACCAAGAGAGTCAAAATCCCGACAGTCACAATCTTCAAAAGAGTCTTCAAAGTCAGCCCGGTTCCGATATCTTCAAAATTAAAACAATTAAAACGGTATTCCCGAAATAATGATTAATTTTACTGAAGTTCTGAAGGCCTGTCAATATTTCTCGCTAAAAAAGCAACGGAAATGCCAGCATTAAATTTCAAAATTACAGATCGGCACGTCGCACGGGTTCTTTTTTAGTTCCGCTTTTTTGTGCGTCCGTTTCCACGGGGTGCTAATTCCGGTGTGTGCCCCAAGGGGGCTTTGGCCCGAGTTAGCGAGGGTGAGACAGGCAAAGCCGTTTCTTGAGCAGCTGTCGACGACCAGGTTGGGGGGAATGGGTTGAGGGCCAAGAGGAGCCAAGGGCCAACATGCATACCCGCACCGCTGCCATCGGCCGCCCTCCACCTGGGAGCCTCAGCCAATTAGACATCATAATTTGGGCATTATTACTGTCGCTAAACGTAGAAGGCTGCAGATATGAATGCTGTCGATACCTTTGATATGGTGAGTTTTGGAGTAGAGGTGTTGACGCACGTTTAACGGGAAGATCAAGCTATCTATAACGCTTTAAGCCATAAGCTAAGGAAAGCCTACGCCTAAGTCGAAGGCTAGGCCTAATCCTAGGCCTGAGCCTAAACTTAAATTAAGCTCAAAGCTAGGCCTGAGCCACACCTACGCTTAAACCTGAGCCTGACTTAAGTCAGGAACTACGCATTACCCTAAAATGTAAGCCCAAACCTCAGCCTAACTTAATCCCCAGCCTACTTCACAACTTAAGCCCAAGCCCTAGCTTAATTTAAGCTTCTCAGGGCTCAACGTCCAACCTCTCTGACTCGGACGATGAGATCCCAATGGAGCTCGACCTGACGGCGGCGGGCCCGCCAATTTCAGACGATGAAGACGAGCTCGATTTACCTGTCGACCAGCATGGATGCAAGGTTGGTTTGCCCAATCTTTTACCTCTGCTTTTCTAGTTATTTCTCCAATATGCAAAACGGGCAGCGATGCACGTGGGGCTGGTGGCCCTGCTGGTTGGCTATTTGCTGGGTGGTGCAACACTTTTCTACCATGTCGAAGGTCCGAACGAGCTTATCGTACGTTTTGCAGCTTTGTAGTCTCTTTATGTATTATGTTGAAACAAAAATCTATGTTTTTTTCAGCAACGAGACATTGAACTGAAACGGATCCTTGGGACGTGGGACGATTTTCAGGTATCAAAAATGACGGCGTTTTTGCTTTATGCAAATAGTGTTCCAGGACCACATTTGGAACATCACTCAAGATGTCGACAATCGCATTTCTAGAGAAGCCTTCAACACTATAAACCAGGTACTAGAAAAAACTATTACCCCTTATCTGATCTCAGGAATACTTCCGAAAACTGGTCAACTACATCTTTGTCAGCTACCACAACCAGTACATCAACGCTCGCCATATATTGAACGAGACCAGGGGCGAGGAGTTGCTGTGGACATTCCCTAATAGCGTCTTCTTCGCCACGACGGTCATCACCACCATTGGTAATACAGCACTTTACTTTTCAACTTACAGTTACTTTAAGGTTACGGTAATCTGGTCCCGACAACTATGGTCGGAAGAATATGTTGCATTTGTTATGCTCTGATTGGGATCCCATTACTCCTCGTCACAATCGCTGACATTGGAAAATTCCTTTCCGAGTTCTTGAGCTTCCTCTACAAATCCTACCGTGCGTTTAAGCGGAAGGTAAGTAAACTTTGGTAGAAAGATACCGAAACTCGTTAGATACGCCGTCAGTCACGTCGAATCTCTCATCACTACCGACCAGGATCACAATCGCGTGGGAGCGATCAGACGAGCCACGCCGGCAGTATGAATCTGAATGATATTGAGTCGGAGCCAGGTGAGGAAGATAGCTTACTGTAACCCTCGCATCGTCGAAGTGAAAATTCCGTTCGTGAGATAGCACATTCTTTGGCTTTGGCTTAAGCTTAGGTCAAGCTTAGGTTAGACCTATGTTTAGGTTTAGGCTTAGGCTTTTCTTTGACTTAGGCTTTGGCTTAGTGTTAACTTAGGCTTCGCTTAGGCTTAGACTTATGCTTACGCTTAGGTTTCGGTTAGATTTATGCTTGGCCTCACTATTAGCCTTAGGCTTAGGCTTAGGCTCAGGCTGGCTTCGGCTCAGGCTTAGTCTCACCTAACCGTTTTCTTAGAATCCTCAATGGAAGACGAACTCCGCATCCCTGTGTTCATGGTCCTGTTGGTCCTATTAGCGTACACAGCCATCGGCGGAATACTGTTCCAACATTGGGAAAATATGCAGTACTTTGAAGCCTTTTACTTCTGCTTCATCACTATGGCGACTGTCGGTAAGTTGAAAAGTAGCAAGAAAAAGTACAGTGTGTGCCAAAATGATAGGGGAATCAGGTTTTTGGCGAATTTGACAGCCTTAGAGCTGCATTTCGGGGATGTTATTAGTACCAGATTGTAGCCCGAAAAATTCTGCATCGGATGGTGTTTTCAAATAACCACCAAGATAATAATAGTATAATGTATAATGTATAATAGTAACCGGGTAGAAAAGTAGTAATCGACTCGCCAAATTTATTTGGATTCATTTATTGCGTTTTAGGTTTCGGCGACATTGTCCCCACCGAGCAGGTGTACATGTTTTTCACGATGGCCTACATCATTTTTGGGCTTTCGTTGTAAGTCGGTATTGAATTCTACCTCATTTCTCTCCCTTTTAGAGCAACGATGTGCATCGATTTGGCCGGTACGGAGTATATTCGAAAAATTCATTACCTGGGTAGTCGAATGGAAGATGCGAAGGGTGCTGTTATCAGGTTAGTACATTTTAAAGGTACACGAACCTCAATGCTTTCGTCAGCGATAACAAATACCGAAATTTAGCGGTATCCAAGTCGGAGAACACATCTTCAAGCATACCGGCGTTGAAGCGATACGATCCGCAGGGGGGAAAGTGCTCAAATTACGACGCGTTTTTGTGGATCGGGTAGGTTAACATGTTTGCAAGCGTTACCGTCAAAATGTCTACATTTGTAATGTCGAATTTTATACTATCGTAGTGTCATAATATCGGAATTTCATAAGGGTTTTAAAACAAACCAACTTATCTCTTGAGGTTTTTTTTATAGTGGAAGTGTTTCTAAATGGTCTTTTTTTACTATCCCTAAACGTGGAAACATTACAAATTAAATAAAAAATATCAAAAACAGCGATCTTTCGACCAAAATTTCGACTTTTTAAAAATTTTTAGGTGGTTTTTCCAGTTAATTTAGTTATATATTACGACAATCGCTATTAAAACACTTTCTGCGAAGTTACTAGGCATTTCTAACTTATACAAAAAAAGTTCGGTCGCCACTCCCCCCGATAACGCGAAAGAACCAAAATTCACCTGAAAAAAGTCCTAAATATTATGTAAACAATGCCGACATAGTGCAATTTCAAAATTATTATGTTGATTATGCCTTGTCGATATTATCGTCGCAAATCGGCTTCAAACTTCCAAACATTGCCTCAACTCCATTTTTAGGACGGCGGCTCTGTGGACTACGTACTTGTGCCGCAGAAAAATATTATTTATGAGCCTCCCTCAACTGCCGTGCTCAAGCTCACAAAGGAGGCCAACATTAAGGTATGTTGTCCGGGAAATGGGGATACTCTCAAACCTCCAGATAATGCCGGACGACATCACTGAAAAAGACGGGTATATTGTCCAAAATAAGAGCTACGACAAGAAGCAGAATCACGATCGGATCTTCGTGCGAGTTTCACATAATCAAATTCATAAGTAAGTCAGAGAGCGAGAGAGCGAGAGAGAAAGAATGAGAGGGATATATGCTCAAACTAACCTTCCTAGATCCTTCCGGCCTGTGGACGCCGGAAAGAAAACTGTCGTCATCCCAGTGCTGCTCTCAGAAACTAAAGTCTAGCTCCCAAGCAATACGTGTACTCATTCATGAGCTTTTCAAAAAAGTTGCTGGGGTATGGGAAATTCTCGATTCCCTTCCCTAACCCGATTTTCGAAAGAATCTCAATAAACGATGATGATGATGACGATGGGTGGCTTTCACACAATACGCGCAATGAATCTTCCCAGTATCTAAAACGTCACTCACCTGGAGTCAAGGCAGATGGTAAGAGCGGCGAGCCAACCACAGCTTCGGTTTAATTACCCAAGTTTGAGGTTAGCATTAACCCCGAGACCTCCACGAGTGTCTCGAACAAATTTTAGAACGCATTTCCTTCGGGAAGTGCACAACTCATGTAAATGTAAGACGACTTCACGAAAAGCTTGAATGTGGCTACGCAGGGCGTATGGTCGTTGTACGCAACTGTACGGGGAACGCGGGTTGCGCTACCTTTCAAGGACTAATCGGAGGCCAGCCGGGCATTTTGAACACCCAACTCAATTGGCATCTTAAAGAGCAAAAAAATGGTGCCGAAAAAAGTTTGGTAGAAAGCGCGAGAGGCCCTAGTATGGTCGAGTGCCCTTTCATGCGCAGAGTATACTTCAGACACTTGAACGGCCATCTGACGCTTGCCGGACAAAGCAGCTCAGCAAGTCCTAATCAAGTCCATGACCTAGTATGTGCGCACTGCATGCACTCTGCTCGGCGCCCCACTAGCCCACCATCTGGGCGTCTCTGTCCCCACTAGTAGAGCCCCTCCCTCCTTGCTCACCTCTGGTCCGTGTGCATTTGACCGAGAAAATCTTTCGCCTTTTACTAAAGATTTCCGTGCACACGAACAATTATGAGTATACTCTAATTTTTGGAGCCCCCTCGCGAGAGCGGGGCAAAAAACAACAGGATGCCAAGACAGTAATATTTTTGGATGTTGCTTATATAGGCTCTTTGCCGCGTGTTGCGTTGATTTTTGCGAGATTTCCAATGATATGCATCATGATTTGAAAAATTGAGCTCAGTGACTGACTTCCTGATAAGGTGGAGTGCGGGCCTCGCGAGTCGGTATCGATGGGGGTGTTATCAGGTCCAAGTCGGGTAAACATCAAAACGCAGCGAAACCCTAGTAATGGACCTTCCTTTAGATTTCCCCTTACCGTTTCTTCCGAAAAAGATGGTTATTCGAATTTCAAAAGACGTGGATCCGAACCGTATCCGCTTTCATAATTTCCCGATCTGTTAGTTTAGTCCTAGCTGTTATCCGTGCAAGCCGAGCAGGCAGTGGAGACGATATGTTGTTCTTGGGGCTTCTGGAATGCAAATGTTTTGCTTAGTCATCCATCGTCGACCCTTATCTGATCCACGGGACCCAGAGGCTCGATGTCTAGACAGTACACTAAACGCCCCGCCTCCAATCATTTTGTCGTTCATTTCATTTTTGTCAGTTGGTCGCTAGGAAATCTTTCTTACCACACTTCCGCTTTCGGGTCCTTGCGTATCATCGGCAGAGGGGGGTATCCGAATAAGCCGCACAGCAGCCCGGCTCCTAATAAAACGTCCGGTAGCTTTGGAAAGGAGGGAAGACCGCAAGGCGTGCGATAGACGCGTCGCGAAATTGCGAAAGAAGGCCTGCGCAGCTAAAGACCGGTTGCTATTCCGCGCACCGGCACGCAACGCGCGAAAAACACGCACAGTACGCCCTTTCCCTTGAACCATCCGGACCGAACCCATGGGCGATTGTGGCCGAGAAATTTTTAGTAACGTAATTGTAAGTTGTTTAATAAGGGCAGGGACGTAGCGTATACAGGCCCCGGGGGGCCCGGCGCCCGAAATCGGCCGGGGCCATATTAAATTTCATGGGGGACCCTTATGATTTTTTTTTCACGATTTTCGGCCCCCCCTAATTTTGCCCCCGGCGCCCTTTTTTTTCTTTTTTGGTATTTGTAGAGCTCTCTAACCTTTTTTCAAAAACGCTGGTTTCTCGTTAATGTTTTGAGTATTTTGGAAAAATTTTTTGGGGGCCCCCCCGAAATTTTTTTCTGGCTACGCCCCTGAATAAGGGGTTTGATAAAACTTGACTATGTGTTTTAAAAGTTCGGCATTCTAGCCGAAAATCAGCGATTTTCGTTTGATTAAAATCTTTCAAGTTAATCTATAAAATTCCTGGCAGCCACTCAGATAAGGCCCCCGCTCGTTTCCTGGCAGCCACTTTTCGCCCCGGCTTGCCGCAACTACGTTTCGCCCTCTCGTAAAAAATGTCTGGGCCCTCCGTTGTCCCTTTCGCTCCACCTGCCGCGACCGTCCCCCTGTCTGTATATCTCAATCTATCTGTTTTTCTGTCCACCTATTTGTCCGTCTGTCTACCCATCTTTTCCCGCTTTTCACCCTCACCCGGCTGTCTATTCCTGGCCATCCTCGCGGCAGAGAAACCACACGGCTCGACATTTACCCCCCATTCGCCCGGTGGTCAATCAGATGATTTTTTTGGTTCTTGCGCGTTTATTTTTAAAAAAGGGCTCCAAAAAGGATTTTTAAAAGATAGGTCCATGCCTTATTGACTTACGGAATTTTTCTACATGATCAAACAGCCTCCCATTAATAAGGGCAAACATGAGAGGCTCCAAATTTAAAAAAAAACTATTGTCTTAATTAAAAAATTAAAAATTATTATTTAAAAAAATAACATATTGAAAAACTGCTACGACAGAAATAGCCAAACCCAACGCTGGCTAAATCCTTAATTCGCCCTCAACATTCTAAATGCCCTGACCGAACCCATTTTACAATTTTGTGCTTATTTTTCTTTACAATCTTGAGGCTCAAAAAGATCAAAACGGCGTATTTTCCCAGCTCCTATTGATGTGAAAGTGTGGCAAATCGTCTTATCAGACAGATGCGCGCAATTTCTGATTCTCGGATTGCTCGCTCATGATTTCTAACAATTGTATTCGCTTTTATTTCTTATGCTCAATCATACTTTTCAAACTTTACTTTATTCACTTGTAATCGACCGCCGGCTAACATTCTTCTTTTCAGGCAGTCCCCCGACCTCAAGAAGCCATGGCCTCGAAAAGGTAAAATTTTATAAAAATCCACCTATATTTCATGATTTTAGTTACGACACCGTGCTACAGGCCGTCGGCAAGACTCCCCTCATCTTGCTCAACAAAATCCCGCAGGCCCAAGGAATCAAGGCGAACATTTGTGAGTTTTCTGTGATTATTTTAGTTTGGCTGTCGGTGCATTTCATTTTAATCTATACTAGCAGCCTGGTTTTTTTCGTGATTACGTTCCAGTCTTATCAATTGCGCCCCGGCCACCACGTGGTCGATATCCTAGACATATACGAGGGCGGGGAGCTCAGAGAAACAATTTCATTGAAATCCTGGGATGAGTAGACATTCTTGTATTGAGTTTTGAACAGAAAAATCTGAAATTTGTACTAATGCGTAGCAATAACTGGAGGAGCGAAACGTATAGAAACCCTGTTATTTTTTCAATTTCAGACATCAAGTGCGAGTACCTGAATGCCGGTGGCTCGTCCCACGACCGCTTGGCGAAGCGCCTGATTGAGGTGTGATTTTCATCAATGTATTTTTCACGGGAATTTAGCTTGCCGAGGAAAAGGGAAAGATCAAGCCGGACACGACCCTGGTCTACAGCGCCGGGCACAATGTAGCGGTCGCTATGGCTGTTGTTTGTGCCGTGAAGGGATATCGGTGCGTGTGTTTTTTGCATAGGATATGAATTTCTCGACCTTTCTTTATCCTCAAAAACGGCATTATTGACTTGTCAGATGCATACTTTCTTTTAGCCTCGTCATCGTCACGCCCGAGCGCGAAGTCCGCGACAATAACACGTTGCTGATCGCCCTAGGAGCCGAGGTACTACCCTTTTTACTTACAACCCTAATAAAATTTAGGTTCTCCGAGTCAACACCGGTGTCTGCTCCAAAGGGTACGCCAAGGCGCTCAACATACCCAATTCCATCCTCCTGAACGCGGTATTGCAACATATCTTAATATGAAAACCATTTTTTTCAGCTGGAGAAAGAGCTGGCTGACGAAATTGTCGGCTACAATCTGGGCGATGAGATTCTGGAGGCGAAAGACAATGTAAGAATGTTTTTGGACGTTTTTTAGTGTTGTTTGCTTTCAGGTGCGCCTGATCGTCGTCCCTCACGGAATGGGTGCCGCGGCAATTTCCGAGAAGGCGCAGGGCAAAGCCGCGGTCGTCTCCGTCAACATCACCCCGGATCACAAGACCACAAGCGTAAATTCTTAGCTAGAAATTTGTAGTTGTTAATAAAATTTAGGGGTTGGAACGCTACCCGTTTTTGGAAGTGCCCGGCGAGCAAGAATCACATGACGTTGGCTCAAAGGTAGATTATTTCTTTGAATTTTATCGATAATTCATTTTCAGGAATCTTTCTTGATGGCCCGTCGTATGATCCGTGAAGAGGGCGTGATGACTGGCCCCTGCTGGAGGAGCCGGCCTTGGTGGCCCTCGAGAAGGCCAAGCATTTGTCGGAGCACGACAATGTCGTCGTGGTGCTCAGTGATGGCATCCGAAGTTATTTGTGCGTGATAGCGAATTTTTCTTAACACCATCGATTGTCCCTTGAGACTTTGAGAAAACTACATTTTTCAGGAGCAAGTTCTGCGACGATCAGTGGCTGAAGGACCAGGGCGTCATTCCCGAGGTGCACAAGCCGACCGCCAAGCCGGATGAGTCAGTTTTTTTGCATCTTTGCATTAAAGTTATCGTTTTATAACATTTGTAAATATAACTTTACGATCGTTTTGTATTTATCATTTTTTGCAGCAAATTCGACTCGAGCATCGTCACGGCTACTGCCCGACCACATAGCCGGCGCTTGGGACCAGACCGAAGACGGAAAGTTCAGCAAGTGCAGCGGAGCCCTTCAAGCCTTTCAGGTAAATCCTATTCACCGTCTTTTTCCTTTGGGAATCTCCGGCCAGCCGTGCTCAGCAACGCACTCGAAGCCGTCGGCAACGCGCCGCTTGTCAAAGCTGCAGCGCCTCCCGAAGATGGACGGCGTCAACGCAGAGCATTTGTACGTTTGAAAGGCGTTGAATTCTACTTTTTTTTGTCTTTAGATGTGAAATGCAGATACTTGGTATAACGCCGGCGGCTCTATCCAAGGACAGAATTGCCGCAAGGATGGTTGAGGATATACTCTTTATTTTAAAAATAATACTTATAGTAATTTTCAGCTAGCCGAGCAGAAGGGCATTCTCAAGCTGGGGATGACGCTGATCGAGCCAACCTCGGGAAATACCGGCATCGGGTTGGCGTTGGCGGCGGCCGTCAAGGGATATAAGTACGTTTTTTAAACGTCTGGTAACCTTTTGAAGGTTTCAATCTTAAAATTGTTTTTAGGTGCATCATCGTGATGCCGGTGAAAATGTCAAAGGAGAAGGCGGTGGCGATGGAGTCGCTCGGTGCTATCATTGGTACGTTTTTGCGCTAGTAAAGAAATCATTGTGAATTTCTAGTTCGTACGCCAAACGAGGCCGGCTTCGATTCGCCCTACTCGCACATCGGCGTGGCGCTGCGTCTGCAGAAGGAGATCCCCGGCGCCATCATCCTTGATCAGGTACGAAATTCCGGCGATCTTCTAGCACAACCCTTTTAGTACCGTAACATGGGCAACCCGATGGTGCACTACGAACAGACCGGCGAGGAGATCATCGCCCAGGCTCCCGCGAAGCTCGACGCTGTTGTGGTGGGTGCTGGCACTGGAGGTGAGTAAGGGTCTTTGAAGAAAGGAACCTTTGGTGCTAATGTACTTCGTGGCGGCGGCCTGGATTTTGCCAACAGAGCGCGAAGCGCCGTTTTTAATCTCTAAGCCCCTGGAAAAGCTAAGCCCGAGCAAGCCCAATACATACGATGCCTAAGCTTAACATGAGCCAAGCTTCGGCTTAGCGTAGTAAAGAATTTACGCCTGGAGGGACTTTTTCAAAATCTTTCCGAATCTCAAATTTTCCATATCCTGGCAGCAGCACGTGGAGGTGCAATTCCCCGGTATTTTGAATTTGGGATCTGGAGCTGGCAACTTATCGAATTTATCGAATTCGAATTTTTTTATAAAAATACGAGATTCTGAATAAGTGAGACTCTAAGAATTTCTAAAATTTTCTAAAAATGTGAAATGGCTCGGAGTGAGCAATATTTCCGAAATTAAGTGGAGAGTGGTGGTTTCGGTCAATTCCGTTTTTCAGGAACCGTCACCGGTATCGGCATGAAAATCAGGGACGAAGCTGCGGGGCTGCGAGGTGGTCGGCGTCGACCCGATCGGCTCAATCCTCGCCGATCCCACGCAGGACTGGACCAAGTCTTAGCTAGGTGGGAACATGGGTTTTTTGCCGTATATCACTTCCGAAAGTACGCTGTAGTATTGATGATGATTCCTGGTGTCCAGGTCGAGGGCACTGGTTACGACTTGATGTCCGGAACCCTGACGCTCAACTGTGCGTGGTGATCGGTGGATCAAGACTGCCGATGAAGAGTGCTATGTTTTGCTCGGTGGTAATATAACTGTCAATGGGAAGATCACCAGGTTGCGCGAGCCCTGATACCATGGAGGTTTCGCTTTGCGGGGAAGCTCTAGCACAATGTTTGGAGGCAACTCTACGGTGAAGTTTGAATCTTTATAACTTTTCTAAGCAATTTTTAATAAGGTATAATCTCCTACTCGCTTTTTTTGGTAACGAAGGAATTGCCTGAGGGTTCCAACCTTGTTACCATCCTCCCCGTACGGCGTCCGATTACTTTTAAGTATATTGACGGACATAACTAAAGTGTTGGTGTTTTTTAGTCTATTTCTCTCTTTTTCCAGGAGCAAATTCCTCAGGCGACGGGAAGCTGGAGGTGCGCGGACTGATCACCGACATTTCAGAAGTTCTACTAGAAGAACCTTGTGCCTATAGGAGAATTCTATGTCATTGGTGTCCATTTTCCACACTTTGGTTGTTTTTTATATCCACTGATCCGTTGACTAGCCCTATTTCCATCAAGTACCTTTACACACACTTTTGATGTTTGGGAATCAATTTTGTGAATAAAAATTGCACTCAATAGGCGAGAATATCACATTTTAGGACGGGCGTTGTCAGGCGTGGTGAGCGAATCAGCGTAACTTTTAGAGAATCACTATAGAAATTGTGATTTAACATTTAAAGTATCAAAATACAACAAATAGCTACCCTATCGGTGTACAAGTGGGAGATCAAGATCCGAAAGGGTAGGAAAAAAAGGGAAAGGCTTATTTCGATAAGATATACTTTAAAAACGTAAGGGTTTCTTGTTTTTTATACGATTTCTAGAGGGAATTTTAAAAAAATTACAACACCTTAACGAGTCAATAAACTGAATGCTTTGCAGGGGGGTTCAGTCTCCGGACGGTCGACGCTCATCACCACCACCGGCTCCTTCATGTATTCGGCTTCCTGCGGCCCTTCTTCCGTCAACAAGTAAATCAGTAGAGGGATTGTTGAGCGGATCTGACAACTCAATGATTTTTCGAGCACGGTCTTCCTTACCTGCTTCCTAATTTCCGGGTTATATTTATAATAGATGAATAATTCTGATAGTGCTGGCAAGGCATGGTCCACGCAATTGTGCCAACGTCGCTGATGATGGACACGTTGCCGGCGTGGAACTGTCGATGTTCGTCCTGATGATGAAATTGGTTTACGAAAGAGTGTGGCTTTGCGGCCGCCCTTGTGGGGCGTCGCCTAAGAAAGCCTTTCCGAAGCAGTACCGGAGGAAGAATGTTGGTTCAGTTTTAGGCCGGATCTAAGAGAAGATGACGAGTGATGATTTCGACCGCAGATACGGATAGCGATCTTGACTTTTTCTTTCTATTGTCGACACTTTCAAATGCATTGCAAACGATTTAAGCAGTAATATTTCACACTTGTATGTGTGTTTGTACCACACCTGACCCGTTTCTGCTCCCTTCGCGCCTGATCATTAACCGCCGTAACCTAGTTTAGCTTTTAGGGAACTGTGAAATGATTTATATACGTTTTAGCTAGATTCTAGCT